ATTACATGAAAAAATCTCATCAACCATCAGCTTGCCAATCATTATTTAAAAACGAAATCGTCAATTTTCCAATTTATTTAAATATTCACTAATACATTTTTTTCTTTAGTAGAAAAAATATAAAAAAATATGAATCAAGTATTCTGTGATGTATTCATGTCAAAATACTGCTCTTATTCACCTTGTTCTTCACGTATGTATCACAGTATCTCATCTATACGTTATAATACATAACACCTCAATGTCTATTGATAATGAAAGATTAAGGTTCGTTTATTATCAGACTTTGCGTAACGTTACGGTTGATGAGTTTTGTCTATAGATACCTTTACTTTGATATTGGAGGCGTTCAACGAAGCACAACAGATTTCCAATTTACGATACCATTTCGATAATTAATGTAGCCCCTCAAATTTAATAGAACAGGTAATGAAATTTATGCAAACAGGTTGTTTTGAATCGTAATAGCCATTAGGTATTTGTGAAAATTAAATTAAAAAAAAATGTAAAGCCAATAGGTATTTGTTGAAATTAAATTTAAAGAAAAATCTAATTTAAATATAGAACGCTGCATATATTAACTACTATAGTATTTCTTATAAAATACATATTTAATATTTCAATGTATCAATAATGAACAGATTAAGAATGAAAAACAATGTTTAATTGTGTAATATTCTTTCGCCGAAAGTAGGCGAATTTCGTACTATGCAGTATTTCATCCGATATTTGAATATTGGGTGCATTTCATTACACTTATCTCCTCCTTTACATATATCTTCCTAATAAAACTATTGTAGCTATTAAACTGACCTATCTTTTTTCTTTCAAGTATGTTCAAAATGCTAAAGTAAGTACAACATTGCAATAATTTAATAAAAATATGCTTGCAAAAGATTTTAGTTTATTTTTACAACTTACATTGTTTAATCTAATAAAAACAAAATGACCTCTTTATTTATTTTCTACAAAAAGTCTTTTTATAAAAATTAAAAAAATTGTTAAATACGATCAAAGTTCAATTTTATTATTTTTCATTTCTTTAATTGCTACTGTGAAATATTGACATCTAAGGATTAATGCATTTTGCTCACACGGTATACCGTAACCCTGACTGTCAAGATTAGCTTTTGTTTAAAATCTACCCTATGCCCGTATATAAACACTTATTATATTAAAGCCGGTTAGTTTCTGTCTCCCCTTTTTCCCTTATGTACCTATGACAGTACAGACAGCCTCGTTTCGCACACGCATATTTCCTAATTACAATAAAAGTGAGTGATTATTAGAGTGAAAGGGTGTGGAACCATTACTTGGACGCTGTTACGTGCTAAGAAGCCCAGGAAACCCTACCAGGATATTCAGGTACCTGAGTGACCTTTTACATCACGCTTCCACATATAGTATTTTCCGTAGCAGTTCTCCTTATGTCATTTATTTAACTAACGATTTGCCCTACTAAAACTAGTGCGCGTATACCGATAGCACAACTCCTGTATTGAAAGAAGACCATATTAATATTATAAATGCGAAAGTAACTCTGTCTGTCTGTCTCGCTTTCATGCCAAAACTACTGAGCCGATTTAAATAAAGTTTGGTACACGTTGGTTGGGATAGTCCTGACTTTGAGAAAGGACATAGACTAATAAGAAAAAAGGGTAAAGAAAGGGGAGATGAAAGATTGTACGGAAGTATCGTCATTTTTAAAGCTAGAAGCTTGAAACTTATTTTTTAGACTGTTGGTTAAATATAAATAAATATAATATTAAGCGAGTTAAATAAAATAGGGGATGAAAGTTTGTATGAAAATTCGTTATTTTTGATGCTAGAACGATAAAACTTTTCTCTTTGGGTTTTTTGGATTAGATAATTGAATATTTTTTCTTTATTTGATCAAGCCCACTATAACATCCAAACGAAGTTGCGGGCACAACTAGTAATATATAAATTAAAGAAAAAAGAATTAAAAATATTCCATGTCGGTATTTGTATATAATCTAATATGTCTTCATATAAAATACATTAAGATCCGTTTAGACGTAAAAATGTAACATACAGATAGGCTTTATAATATTATTACGCGTTAGGATGGTTTTGATTCTGTAAATAATTACTGCTGATTATGATTCTTCCGTTTTCCACTTTTGTATTATGGCTATTCGTTTAGACATTCTTAACTGCCACAGGCTGGCAGACGTCTTCAAATTATATCAAACAATTCCTCGCCATTCCGCCCTTGACCCTGTAGACTTTATGGAATTTTGAACTGAATAAAATTTGCACTATCCGTTTCTAGGAGACTATGTTCTAGTAACTACAAAACTACTGAGAACTCGTAAATTAGTATTTCATACAGTATTCAGTCGCCATATTTTGCAAAAAACGCTTCATGAGAAGAGGTCACAAGTGACCACTGTGTTCACACTCTCCTAATCACAAAAACAAATTAACATTTTTTTGTTTTCCTTTTCATTTAATTAAATTTTATATATATTATCTATAATATATAAAATTCCTTCATCTTATACCCGAATTAATAATCTCATTATATCTATTGTATATGTATTATAAAGAGTAAAGTTAAAATAGCAAACGTGTACTACTCAATAATAAATAATATATGTTCTGTATCATTGTTATAGGGAACGAGCACTGCTTATTATATAAAGTACAGGATTTTTCCTATTTAGAGAACAGGGTTTTATCTTTTTTACCTATACTTTAAGGATATACTGTAACACATATATTTGTAACAAATAAAAACATAAATAAAACAGGGAAATATACAAAACTATATAATATATTATATAAACAAAGCAAAAGTGACTACTAAATTTTAGTAATAAACTCGAAAATATTTGTTAGTATTTACTGAAAAACAGTAATGGACAAGATTAATGACTAAAATATTTTTACTATTTATTTGGCTTAATTTTTTTAATATAACACAAAAAAGTGATTGTTGCTTTAAAGTATTTTTTTCAGAACTATTAAGATTAAATTAAAATTTATTATTAATTTTAATATTAATAATAAATTTTAATTGAGTAATAACTCGACCAATTCAGATGATAATTTTATCAGTGTAATTTTTAGATTATTGGTACTGTTAACTTGAATATAAAAATTCAAATATTATATTTCATCTTTTTCACTCATGATCAAGTAAGTGTTCTATCGATTCGTGATATTCTGGGATCAGAGCACCTACTGGCATTGACATAAATGTCATGACATTTTATAAACTATTATTTATCGAAATCTATAAAATAGATATGATACATTATATTCGTTTTTATTATTATAGAAAAGATATATAAAAATATTGGTTAAGAAATAGATTCTTATGATAGTTAATGGTAAATTTTATTGGTTAGTTGTGTACCTACTATTATATATTATATTTTAGTTACGCGACTCGGAGCAATAAATTTTAGATTCGGTTCCACAAGAACCGATTTCAGTCATGACGGAGATTATTTTGGATCAACACGACAATAAAAGCAATCGATTGCACAAAGAATTAACAATAACGGTGTGTGAAATGTCACAAATATTTTTTTATAGTAATAATTACCTTGGACAATTAACACAGCGCCATCTAGTACCAAGGTAAATAGAGCTTGTGTTATGAGTACTGAACAACTGATAGTACTGAATGTGTACTTGAATATTTTTTAATATATACATAGGACCATCAAGATCAATACACACAATCATACTCATGAATACAATTGTACCGTGTGAGGAATCACACCCGCGACCATCGGCAATAAGGCGGTGTGCTAAACCGCTAGACCACCGAGGTCGTTATTATACAACCTAATTCGAATTCGGTGCGGGACATTATTAATAGTAGTACGTAGTATTATGAAATTTGTATTATTATACATTCTATAACAATGTTAGTGCTGCCTCGAGCGACTGTGATATAATTAATCACTTCAGTGATTTAATTATTCTATTGATTCATTCAGTTCGATTCAATTTGTGTAGGTGTCCAATCAAAGAACGCTTGTTCCAGTAAATTAAACTTTATGATGGTATGGTATGGTAACTATCACGGTAATAATTTCAATTCATATAGTTTTATATTGCGTTTGTTAATTTAGTATTAATTGTTAGGAAAAATATTGATATTTGTTATATGTATACAACTTTATGGACTAAATAAACTAACGGTCCGTGTGACAGAAATAGAAATCGTCGCCAATAGACTTAAGCAGCACCGTAAACACTTTTCACAAAACACATTGTGTTGCACCTGAAACGTTCGTGTTATATATTGAAAAAGACTATTTTCTGACTAATACTGCGTTGTCTGTGCTAATACTATAAACGAGAAAGTTGTGAGTACGAATAGGGATGTTTTTACTCTTTCACTTAAAAACTACAGTACAACAGTACAACGTATTTTGATGAAACATTACAGTAATATAGCTTATACATCAGAATAACACATAGGCTATAATTTAAAAAGATGTGTACATAAATTAGTATGACATAAATCGAAAAATTAATAAGAATGTAACAATTTCATTTACTGATAATAATATAAATTATCAAATTTATTGAAATAAAAAGAAATTGAGATCTATAAAATTATAAACGTAATATATTTATTACGTTTATATATATATATATTTATTAAAAATGTATGCCTACAAGTTACACAATTACGAAGTTATGCAACTTGTAATTTAGTTACAAATGCAAAATAAAATTAAGTTAATATTCTTAACTGAAGATAAATGTAATCATATATTTAATAATTTATTCTATATAATTATTGTAAATGTGGCCTTCCAATCACATTGTCCCTAATTAGTGTTGTTACTATATCTAAAAGTACAATTATTAATAAAAAAAAAGAATATTTAAATCTATATCGTGAATCAATTCCAACCTTATTCGCTAGCACAATACAATATCGTAATTGTTTATATTTATTATTTTATACACAAAACTAAGCCTTATGTTGAATATTCTCCCAACCCTAGATTGTTGAGCAAGTTGACTCCATTCTCGACGAATGGAAGGCATGACGACATGTAAGTCGCTATATAAAGCATCAATAGCTTTGGAAATGCTTAGCTGAAACCGCTGAGACCCTAGCGAACGCACGACTCGGCACCAAGCCCATATATGAATGACTGATAGCAAACTGACCATGTACTACCATATGGAATGACTATTAAAGGTACCGAAGAAAGTTACTAAGCTTGATTGACCCTTGAAGGTGCATTGGTCAGTGGTTTGTTTAGGCTGTGGCCTGTTTTTTTTTCAAAATCCAATGCATGATTTAAAACATATAATTACAAATTAAAGAGACAACCCTCCACTATCCTTGCCGCTCTCCCCTCTATCAGATTCTCCTCCAGTTAAGCCAATAAGTTTGATTTAAGTACGCAGATTTCAGTTCAAGTCAATTCTAATTTTATTGCCATAAACTAATACGAGTATATTAAAAGCGAATGATTGAAATTTCGAAGTGCTTTTAAAATCTATTGAGAAATGGTTAAGTTTATCCATTGCAGAATATATGTATCAGCAAACATACAGAACATAATGTATAAAATATATACAAATATATACATAAGAATATATTCGCTAGTAAGAAGAGCTGTATTTTTTTTTATTAACACATCTGGTAATAGGTGGTAATCTAGCCAAAACAATGCAAGCTTGAGCAAATTAGTAAAATATTCAGAAACGACTAGTAAGGATATATAAATTATATATACTTAGTAATTTAATAGTAGTAACATATTCTAACTTAACTATGTCAATTTCCATAGAACCAATTCCAATAAAAAATATTTATACATGAGAGAATTGACCTGAAATTACTACGATTTTCAAATCGGAAACCATATAGTCATTCCATATGCTGGGCAACCTCAATACATTGGAAATGCGTCACTTTTATTGACGCTTGTATCACAAAGTCTGCATAGCAACTATATTATATATATTAGAGGACAGCCAACCTACCTGCACAGCTGAAATATAGCGTCACTGTTATGCTAAGAACACTTTGTACAGTCCTTGAACGATTAGTGAAAAGCTGATTCTTTTTGTATTGTGCATGTTGTTATGTGGAGTCTCGGACACATATTGATATCAGAACCCGTGAGTTGCGACTCGATAATGAGATATTCTCACATCTATTTCACAATGTAGTTTGAATTAAGTATGGTGTTAGTTTTAATGGCCATTATTATAATGATAATTTGTATTTATATACATTATAAATTTATTTAAAAAGTTAATTAAATTATATTTGTGATAATTGGGAAAATAAATGCCGAATAGTGATTTAAAATAAATATTGGAAAATAGTATAAATTCTATACTTTAACTGAATTTTACGTACTGTTTTTATTTCAAAAAATACATTCAAACCTTCTCCTTTTTAGGATGATAGATCAATATTACATAATATTTTCATAGGAATAGATGAAATATATCATGACCGTATAAGAGAATACATGACGATGATTAATAGAAAATAATAAAAGGGAAAGATTGTACAGAGTCATGGGTTCAAGGTGGGAAGTGAAGGTCATGATAATCATAGAATTCTTTATCCAAATAACGTACAGCTGAGAAATAATAATACTGACCTTTTTGTAATAATGCCAAAAAATTTTGGATATTAATAAAGCATTAGGAATTAATTATTAAAGAAAAAATATTTTTTATCAATTAAATTTAACATATTTATAAAGATTTATCATTCCAATAGTATTCCAAGATAGTTTAAACTTTTATTTTCTATTTAAACCTTCACGTAGCTCTACTTAAAAATATAAAAATAACGTACTTATAGACAATTAAATGTTAATTTTTTTTATGAATCTATAACTTTTTGAACTTCAGTTAAATTAAATTATACGTAGTTAAATTAAATTATACGTAAAAACGGTAATTTTTCTTTCTATAGCTATTGCTTTAAATATTATTTATACTAACGCTTATGTATTATACAAGCGTATAAGTAAGAACGTGAATTACCACAATTACCTATTGTAATAATAATTACAAGATTGTACAATCGTAATGATATGTTATTACAATTATTAAATTATCATTATAATATCTCTATATAGTATCTGAGATATGAATGTGTCGCAACTCACGGTAGGGGCTTCCACCAACAGACCCACTGCGCAGTACACTACACCACTTGTATTGACCTATAACACGATACATCCCTTTATAGGCGACCGATCATTGCATCGAGCTCGTCAAGCTCTCGCAAGTCCATGCAGGACTATGAGAGGCAAGGATCAGACACAGACAAATGCGGCCATAAATGGAGACACGTCCAAGCTGTTATGGCATACTACCAGGCTCTCAGGAAAATAAAGAGGTTCGATACCGCGTGACAACGGTAACAACGCAACGTTGTCGTATTATCATTGTTTGTTTATGATTTCCCACTAATGTGCTACCTTCGTCTGTATAGGCCTTCGGGAATGGTACTTTACTCACTGGATTTTTGTGTGTTTTTCTTGTCGATATTGTGTCTTTACTAAGTAGTTCACCTTGAAGAGATTCTACTTTCCTACTATTACTTGGGAGACCTCGTGTCAATGTTTAATGTTTAATTGCATTTATTTTAAACATTTTAATTCGATAGATAGACAATTTAGTATTAAGCTCTTAACTAATTAGACGCAACTTAGTATATTTAGTTTTAGATGCGTTAGAATTCGATTCACTTAATCTTACTCTACAAATATACCTTTTAATATGGGATTTCATTTTTATTTAATTTAGTATTAATATTGCCATGCCGCATGTAAATAAAGGTAGAATGTATGTTTGCACGTTACTAAAATTACGTTTCAGTTCACGTTAAAATGTGTGAAGAGCACTTGATACAATAAATAGAAGCATATATATACATAAGTAACATTTAGATGATTTCCGATTTCTTTGCTCCTTATTAATTCTAATGGTTCTATAACCAACTAAAATTTATATATATAAACTTTACACTCCTTTGTGATCTTATTAAAATAATCTTCTATATAAAAACTAAGATGAGCTGAACATTGCTGAAATTTCTCCATCTACCTTTAAATACTAATAATATTTTCTGGAAGCATGGCTCCTATTGCTTACAAAAACTGTCTATCAATTTTCTCGCGCTATATATTTTAGATTTAAATTAATATATGTGGATGGAATAATTCAGAACAAAGTCCAACCAAAGGTGGAGGAAACTACGCACAACCGTACAGCTGGGGTCTGCAATACAGAAGAAAGCAACATTAAAGAGAGAAGACTCGTTCCTGAAGAGGTTCTCCACGAGGCAGACGCCGGCTACGCAGGAAACTGTAAGCTATTATAATACATCATGTTCATATATTCATAGAACATCATACATAAATTAAAACTTTTAGTAGCCGAAGACAAGCGCAGTTCTTGCCTAACATATAAGCGTCTAATAAACATACATGTGTAGTTAGATAAAACCATTTCCATTCCAGCCATTCTGCAAAGAACACTGCCAGAGTAATCGAAAATTACGTACTACATATTTCATTTTAGCATGTTCTTCATTATTTTTATTATTTGTTAGATTTATAGATGTACATTTCTTATTGAACAAATAAATCGAAATATAAATATATAATAATAGCAGCCATACAGCCAGCCGCGCAGTTATATATTATAGTTAATAATAGATAACTGCGCGGTAATTCGTTAGGCATATAAAGGTCAGAAAAATTAACATTTATACGTATGCTTGTTTGCCACCTGCGTGGTATAAAAAAAAAATCGAAATTTCTGGATGGCAACCCTATTAAATTCAATTAAGTTAAACCCAAGTGTCATGTTGTGAATAACACTGATTGAAAATAACAACCGTTTGCGATAAACGTTAACAGTGTCATAAAATATATTATAGAATAGAGATGACGTAGCTAGTTCTAAGAAAACAGGACAGTTTGAAATATCACACAAACTGAAGATACAAACAAATCATATAAAATCCAAATAATTTCTATAATAATCCATATCTGTTTCGATTTTTTTGAATATATATATAGAAACATATTATATGAAATATTGGCTGCAGAAATAAATACTTATTACGAAATGTGAGAGCTTAAATTGCATGGCACACATTTGTCTTGCAAACTTTTACCTTCAAGAAACTTGTACGTAGAAATTTGCAACTTTGTAACAGATTGTACTAACAAATTGTGGTACAAATACATACTCGTGTATCCAGAAAATCCGACAATCTTCGCTGCTAAGTCTGTAGTTAACAGATGCTTGTAGTATTAAAGTACTTTATAACTAATTTACTTTAAATTCATATAGACGATTGGTGATCGATTGAAGATATAGTTAATTGGGTCTTAACACGAATAATTTTTAGGGTAAATAAAGTTACCTCTCTCGATATTTCGACTAGATTTCTGCAACCGCGATCAGACTGGAGTACAGCGATGTTAGTAGATGTCAGCATTTTTTCAATTACCGTCACTACATTTTCTAACAAAAGATCGCAATATACAGAAGTAGCTAGTAATTTTTATTTACCATAAAAGTATTACGTGTTAAGACAAACAAAGCCTGTGGTAAGGATACGGACTTAACTGATATAAATATTGAAATATACTTTCCGTGGGATATCAGATGTAGGGCAGTGTTCTAGACCACCGTAAGATATAAATTTACTATCTGAAATAACATTTATGACATTTCTACAGGTAGAAGACACAGGATCAGAAGGTGCTACAGGAGAACATCGAACAGCAAACAGACATAGACGAAGAAAAGTTAGAGCGCCCAGAACAGTGGTAAATCCTGATGAGAATTTCTATTTCTACTGGCTCTGGCTGATCACCCTCTGCGTTTTGTACAACTTCTGGACTTTAATAGTGCGTCAGAGCTTTCCGGAATTGCAAGTGAGTATAAATATTAAAGAATAAGTATAAATTGAATATGAATACCTAAGACAACAATTTAGAATCCTGTATCTCACAACTGCATTTGATTAGTATCAAAAATAAATTTAATTATTATTCTATTTTTTATGTAATTTAAATGGCAAACAAACTGAGAGCTCACCTAATGTAAAGCGGTAATCATTGCCTATATACATGAACAGCACTACAGATGTAAGTACCCTAATACCACTCATGCGTTATCATTTCAGAGAACTATCATGCCATACCTCTTATCTTGTAATTTGTTTTTTTTTTAGTTGTGAAGACATATGTGAAGTTGATATTTGATTTATATTATACATGTCATGATGTATTTATATAGTCACATATTTATTGTCATTAGGTATGGTGAACAAAATTTTAAAAATTATAATTAAATTATTAAACAAGGTTGATGAAATTTTCTTAGAGACTATGAATATTCGGTGTGGAAACCTGACCAGCGCTATGACCTTCTCCAGTGGTGATCAAATTCCGACCGTTATTGAGTCACTCATATCGCGACACGTGTTTCGCCTCTGAATGAGGCATCATCAGGCTTTGATTGGAGTTCGGGTACTGCTCGGAAGTCTAGTGTTGACTCATCGGCGACCAAAACGCGAAATTTTCTTTTATTGAAATGTAAATTTTTTAATGATTTATCATATCAACAGTCAGTTAGTTCTCTCTTTCTGTTTTTTTTTTCTTACGCGTTTCCATTTTTATGATTTTCCAAACATACAGACAATTTCTTGTTCGTGGCCACACATGTTTATAAAGTACTATAATGCTACTGACTTAATCATTGACTTTACAAGATATCATATCAATTATCATTAAGATGTATACATATGAAATTCCTCACAGTTTTCTCTCGCTGATGTCAACCTACTTATGAGAATATTTTTAATGTGAAGTCTGAGTAAAATTTCAGATTTTACATTTAAAATATTTTTCGTTACATTAAAAGAATTGATTTATTTATTAATGATTTCCGTAAATTTAATAATTTATATTGCAACTATTAATCGACGTCGGATCTTAACTTTTCTAATATCTACATTTAATATGAAGTACCAATTTTCGATAGAATGGAAAATACCTAGGGTCAAGTTATTAAAAATACCGATCTGCCTTTCTGAAAGTATGACATCTATGGAAAATTCATTCAGGATAAAAATAGCCATTCTAGTCATAAGTTTTATAATCAAACTCAAGCTCTAAATCGATTATTTCATGTGAAATATCATGATTATTATTAAGATTTAGATTATTTCATATAAAAATACTTGCTTATTATTTTTATATTTTCTAATCATTCCACGTCCAATTAATTTTCAGTGTAATTATTTGAAATACTCTTGACGACAATAATCATTGGCAAATAATTAATTGACTTTCAATAATAATAATAATTTATTTATTATCAGGTTTACTTGCCCATTTTGTTAGTTTCTTATAATTAACGTTAGTACGTACAGACACAAAAATAAGATACAAATAATACCCATAATTAATATTAAATTAAATTAAATTAAAATACACTCACAATACAAATATCAAAATTACTACTGTACTATTCCATTGGAAATAGCACAGCAGTGATTAACATACGCACAGTCCTGCCTGCCCGCAATCATGCTCAGGATGCTGTTGATACTGGTTAAATTTACCAATTACTCGTTATTTCAGTTAATTACTTATATACTTTTATATACACATTCTTTAAATTAATCCAATTCTCAGACGATTACATGTTGTTGTAATTATTTTCTAAGTATAGTATATACAAAACATTTATCAAATATTGTTGTTTTTATTTATTTCATTTATTTCGAATATGTGCCCATATTATGTTAGTAAACAGCTTATAAACTATGTTAGTAAATTACAATTTTATTCATTCAGTTCATATATTTATGCCTATGCATTTATGCCATACTTTTTGTCTACGATTACATAAAATTACTAGCCGTTACCCGCGACTTCGTCTGCTATTTTTGAGATAAAAAATGTCTAACCTATGGCAGTCCTCGTTATGTTTTATATGTATATTTTTCTTTTTTAAATCTGTGTATTTTTACGTCATACATTAAAATCTTGACGGTACATAATATAGAGATATATTATAGAAACGATTGTCGAGACATTGAAGTATAAACAAGAATGTACATTGAAAGAACTGTAAATTTGAATACAAATTTAGAATAATAAATACATTTCTGATTAACCAGTAGAGTATAACACAACACAACACACAACGCAAACAGAAAGGCAAATACCTAAATTTTTTTTAAACAATTAGTATGTATTCAAATTGGTTCTGAAATATCAAACGTCTAGTTGCCTGTATAAAAAGAACAGTGAAATTGGGGATCCTTTGTGATATCGGTTAATAAAATTGAACCCAAGCCCACACGTTTCTATCAATCCGATGTCTCACTTTAACGGTATTGGAAATTCTCCACGGAGCTGTTTGAACTCCTCACTTACACCTCTATTTACTTAGACCCACCGTCTTGGGAAATAAATGTAAGTGTGTGCTATTGCAGTGAGTGCATCGTTTTCAGCTTTAGTAAATACAGCTGTGGTTTTTTATCAGGTTTATTTTAGCTTTATGCCTCTTTTATATTCGATTAATTAAAAAGTTCAAAGTTAGTTACTTTTCAAGTTTAATTAAAAATTTAGTACATTTTGTATATAACCATTTAAAGTTTAGGTTCTAAACAGTACTATATAAAGCATCTATACGATACCATTCTATTATTTATGAATTAATTAAATTGTACAAAATTAATTATAGTCTCATTTGGGGAGTACTTTCTTTTTGGATATGTTGACCCATATTTAATAACATATTTTATGAGAATTTAATTCTAATTTTTCTAGCCATTTTTGTCAAGGTTGAAAGCTTAACACACAAATAGACATTGTTGGCCTCGGCACAATATTACGATTATATTATAGACTAGCTGTGTTCATGATTTCAACGGCGTGAAATTTGTAGTCTATTTCTTATTCTGATGTATAAGCTATATTGCTGTAAAGTTTCATCAAAATCCGTAAAGTTTTTGCGTGAAAGAGTAATATCCAGAGCATATGAGAAAGAGAAAGAATTAGAACATACAAACATACATTCATCCATACTCACAAAGTTTTATAATATTAATTATTATATTATGTGTATATATAGTTATAGAAGGTAAAAAAGATTATAGGCATAAAATATAGCACATATTACAGAAAGTTCGAAGACCATGTATTGTAGCATTTTATAACTGAAAGATTTATTAAAATCGATCCAGTAACTCTTTATTGTGTACACAGAAGAAAAAATAATACGAAAAACATTTAACTAAATTAAATACTAAGTACTAAACAGTAAAAAATAAACTCTTTTCTCTTTATAATATTAGCAACATGTAGATAATCAACAATAACTAAGGGCAATCAGCATAAAACTGCTTATGCTTTATGCTAATTTTGAAAAAGCATTGCATTTAAAAATTGCATAATAAATGCAGCTGCCACCGATCATATTTTTTTACATTTTCAGATATTATTTTAACAAAGTAAATTCACACCAAGAACAACACGGGTACTCATTTATCAGTAGTCTAATGGTTAAAAAATACAATTTTAATTTATATATTAAACTATATTTACCACGGTTTTAGTATAACCTGATATATATTTCTATTTATTAATTTGTATACCTTAAAATATTCTCAATTTTTAAATTGAGAATATTTCTACGAAATTTACTACGAGTTTTGACAATGAATGAATGATGTAAATAATACCGTTCATGCAATATGAGAATACAAGTTCTCAATATCACATGCGAGTTATTGAATTTACCTCGTAAAATGCTCTCAGACAGTATTTTATTCACCGTCTGACGATCTCAATCCGATCATCTGTCTAACTCTGTCATTGGTTATGTTATTGGATACTCTTTCATTTACTTTTCCATAACATTTGATATTAGTCTTGAGAAAAACAGTAATTTCCGGGTCGACCACAAGAAAAGGTTTTGGGCTACAGTCATCTTGTTAGAGAAACCTCGTGATTGTTAAAGGACTGCTCTATATATAAATAGAAACAAACATAATTAATTCAAATAAACTTAATATAAGTACTTTTGAGTAGTCACATTTTTTTTGTATTCTACCGCTCATTCAACACAACGCAGACTGCGCTTCGAATTAGTGGTAGAATTCATCACAAGAAGAACGAGCAAGAGGCTTCCGTTTTGCTCTTTTAAATAAATGTTGTTATAAGTAAATACTCATTAACACGGATTTGCCATGCGACAATCATCATACAAACCGCTACACAGTCAATCTTTGTGCAATAATATGGTCATCTCTATGAATTTTAAGTTAGAATTTCCCAACAACATTATTATCATTTATAAACTCTGCAATATTATAATAAGGTTTTTCCTTAATTATACAATTAAGGAAAAATCGTATTATCCCAAAGACTGTATCATGATGGAATAGATTGTTAATTTAATTGTATTCTTTTTGGAGGTCTTCTGTCGAAAATTTCTACCGAAGTAGACTCTGACCTATTTCAGCCGCCAAGTAAGTTTGTAAGTTGCGTCGAAATATCAGGAACTTTTATATTTGATAATATTGTATCATAGTAAATATCACATTTATATAATGTGTATTTAAGTATTTCTATCATTATCAGAGGCAGTGTGAATTGTTCTATTATTATTATTATAATTGACAATATATTTTGTACAGATAATGTGCCACTACTTCTGGCTGACATGCGACGGAGTCAGCGATGTGGTGTTCGCCCTCGATCTCGTAGTTCAACTCAGAACAGGATATCTGGAGCAAGGTCTGATGGTTAGTCCTACATTTTTAAATCTGTGTTTTAATATCCTATATGCTTATATTGCCATGCCTTTTTAGGCTGTCACAAAATAATTGTAAGAACCATACCATACTCTGTACGCATGTGCTCTATATTTTTAGGATACTGCAATAAATAAATTAATAAATAATAATATGTACTAATATATATTAATACTAACGGATCCGGAGTTGGATGAACACGTCATCCAAAGAAACTGTAAAGGCAAACGATCTTAATTTTTTGTCGCTCTTATGCTCTTCAAGTATTGGAATAATTCGAAACAAAAAATAGGTCGTCCTTCCCATAAAAGGAGCCGTACCTACTGGGTCTATTTAGCTTTTTAAACCGTTCAGGAACAAACCTGAACAAAACAAAATATAAATATTACTTCCAGGTTTACGACTCGAAGAAACTAGCAAAGCACTATTTGACATCTCGCTCCTTCCTGCTGGACATCGCATCCCTGACGCCTCTCGACCTGATCCAGTTGAAGATTGGTACCAACCCCATCATTCGTTTCCCTAGGTTCCTCAAAGTAAGTTAATCAATGTACAATCTTAATCAACAACCACATTGTAGAATCAATTACATCAGTGGTATTTCTGAAGCGTTATTAAACCTTCGAGAAAGCATATTCGTTCGTAATTTTTTTGGGGTCGCAAATACTTATGGACTGAGATAATTACTTATTATCAGATGTGCCGCTTGATTTAATACCTTATGATACAAACAATACGTATTATTTTAAAGTTAAGAAAAGGAAACATTTATTTCAGTTTGTTATTATGACAATAGTTTTTGTTATCTTGAGACATCTTTTCAAGTATATTCAGTTATCTGGAAAAGATCGGTAATGTGGAGATAAGTCTAACTTTGTTTACTATGTCTTCAATTAATATTATTACTGTGTTTTTGAGAACAAAAGTATATCTATAACATTTTCTTAAGGTCCAAATTTATATGTAGCGCATCATGAACAGCAATGCAATAGTATAGCATCGCTAGCTTTGAACGAATAATTTTTTCTCCGATCACGTCTTTTGTTTTAATCAAGGTCCTTCTTAGAATTTATGTTAATACTGTATTGGTTTATAGAATTACATAGCTTAAAAATACTTCTGTGAATCACCAGGTGTACAGGGCAGTGAGCTGTTATTATATCGTTGAATCAAGAACTGTGTACCCCAATTTCTGGAGAGTCATCAATTTGATTCACATACTCTTGATCCTCGCGCATTGGTTCGGCTGCTTCTACTTCTTGCTGTCAGAGGCTGAGGGCTTCCAAGTAAGTAATCTTAGTTTATTTCTACTATGTATTCCACAATATATGTTATTCAAGAAAGTCTCTCAAGTTAAAGAAAACGGATCTATTTTAAACCGTAAGTTACTACTTTTAATAAAAAAGACCCGTTTATTTTGTTTTTCAATCTAATTACAAATACCTCGTTTTTCATATTTAAACTTCGACATTCTAATTGGAATGTACTGTTTTTTTTTAAATTTTATTTATAATTTCTTATAAAGTTTTTTCTATATTGAAATCATCTTTATCACAATTTATAATGTATAATATTTAAATATAAAATACTATACAAAATATAGTTATATATACGAATATTTGTAAATTCCTAACCTAACCGGTGACAGTAGGTCAATCATACTGTCATGAGGTAGTAGCCCACAGTAGTAAGATTGTAAGGGACAACTTTGGTGTTTGTATTACTTCGTCTATTATAATGAAATTAAAACTTTTTTATTTAATTTGAATAGTAAAATAGTATACAAACAACCCACCTAATGGTAAGTGGTAACCGTCGTTTTATGTACATGAACCACCACAGCATTACATTATCACGTGACGCTAATAATACCAGTCCTGCGTTGCCATTCCGAAAAAATAAGTTATCATGCCTCTTATCCTCTAATTTCACCATCTTATCTCATTTACCCTTCAACTGAAAGTAGGAAGAATGAAATTGGGAGTAGGATATGAACAAAAACTTGTTTATAACCAATTTCCAATTTTTCTAATACTTTCGTAAGCATATACCGTTTAATGGCACTTTAAGTGTCATATAAACTGTCTGCCAATCTCACTGATGTAAAAGAAAACCAAAAGGGCCATACTTTGCTTAAAGAAAAAAAAATTAGGTCAAAATGTCATATTAATGAAGTCAAGCCCGATTTTGAGCACGTATTATAAATAATGATTATGATAGGTTATGAATATATGACAAGTTGTTGTTAGATTTAGATATTTCTTTAAAATAAGGTATTTTATGCATTAAGCAAAAGAAACATTATGACCTTAAAAAATATCTGAAACTTAGATATTAGACTTAGAGTCTAATTAGTGGGCAACATATTGATATTGCCCATTCACTACTTCAAGCCTTACCATTCCCATGCTATGCTATGAGTCTATGACAATCACCAGGAGTTCATAGGCTAGAGGAGCTATATTTTGGATAACACTATTACAGTATTTAAAATTCAATAAAATATGTATACTATTATGAACGTCAGATCTATTAAATTAATGATTTCAATTTTCGTCGAGTTCTTGGTAGGCGGGAATTAATTTCCTAAGAGACTTCGTTTCACATTGATCCTGAATTGAAAATAGTTATTTATAAAACGATACACTGAAAAAAAACATTAGAAAATACAAAACGTACAATTCTAATTTATGTTCTAAATTAAAAACCATAAGATATATATCTATATAAACGATGAATTTTTGAAACTAATTATTGAGGGAAAGATAGAAGGAAAGAGGGGGAGAGGAAGACCAAGGCACAGTTATATCAAACAAATTAAAGACAAAATCGGACTCGTGTCGTATCAAGGCTTAATGAGTATGATGGAAGATCGTAGAAAGTGGAAAGAGCTCCACCGACAAGAGCGTTACTCTTAAGTTTATGAATGAATGAATGAAGAATATAAATACATTGTCGTGGCCAAGGGTCAAAAGGAAAGGAAATTTTATCATATGGCTGGTGAGAACACAAATCGCCGAAGCCAAAAGAAGAGAGAAATTTATCATAAAACAAAGTGATTACTTTCTAATTGGTATATCATATAAAAATTTTAATATTTGAAGTCTCACGACTGTCCAAAACCTAGGTATAGAGCGTAGTGGAGTTACTTGTAATAAAATTACTAATGAATTTAAATATTTTAACTATGTTTTTTGCAATTTTTTAATTAGTGTTAATTTAGAAAATAAGATAGATTTCTTAACATACAAACAAAATGTGATAATTTTACAAATCATTCTGGGTTTGTCTACTATTCTAGCTAGATGCTATATAGATACGTATGTTGGATGTTTAACCCTTACTTATTTGATTGAAACCTCACTGTGTGTATTGAAAGGAACCGTTCATGAAAAGGTAATAATACGTTGAAACGGGTCTGATATAACGGAGTATTGCCTTCTGACAGTGATGGAGTAAGGAGAAGCATATAGTTACAACTTAATGCAAGATAAAATTACAATATAAACTATAAATACAACTGAAATCAGGATCCGCGGTTTCACTTCTAATTCTTTAGGTGGGTATCGCATAAGCAGCAAATCCGAGCTTCTCGTATTAAACTAAAGTACTGAGTAACTAAATATTTTTAATAGTTGATGATATAATGGTACTCCAATCAGTGCTAATGGTATATATATAAGTGGGACAACAGAGGATATTGATAGAATTAGAAAGATACAATGTGTCAGATTGATTAGCCTATCGTGACTATTTTACCTCTAATAAACCAAGATGACTTCCAAACAGAACTGTCTGGAAGTCAACCCAACAGGGTATATGGCTAGAAGAATACCCTACATCACATTACTCACTAACTGTTTTTCCTTGATACCTACCTATTATTTAAATATGTAAATAAATATAAATCAGACCTATTTATATGTTATGTTTTTTCTCGCCCAAAATTGCAACATCAAATACTTATCTACACTACCTATATGAAATATATATATATAATACAAAGTTTTATACATAACTAGTCGGCATATAATTGACAAGAAATCGATCTTCCATCATTTCATTCTTTATCTTTCTATCTAAGTATACAAATTAGCAATCTCAATACATATTTCCTTCAAGAATGCTATTATGTGTTGCTATATTATCTAATTCTTATTCCATAACACAAACATTACCTTTATAATATTTGTAACATATTATTATCCAATCAATTATTAGTTTCCGGGCTAGTAATGTTGCGAGCATCGCTTTTCGATCGACTCGAAAGCTTTTAGCGGATTTCATAATTAAGGTCATTTTTAATGCCATCGAATCATTGGTAGAATTTCTGATCGATATCTTTCTAAAGGTTAACGAATCGGTCATATATACATAAACTGATCACTTGTAAAGTAAAAATCCTTTAATTATAATGGATACCTTAGGCCACTTATGCAATTCTATAATTATAATAGAGTGAAAGATAAGTAATGGGTAATGAAATTTAAAATAATATATAATATCTCAATAATATAAAATCTCATGAAAACTTACACAGCGCCGTCTATTCCCATATTAAGCAGAGTTTGTGTTATGGATAATACACAACTGATACAAATACATAGATATATTTTTTTAATATATACATAGAAAACACCCAGACCGATAGAAAACGATCATAATCATGAATACAAATGTTTAATATCGAACCTGCTACCATCACAAGTAAAGTGGTGCGCTAACCCTCTAGACCACCGAGGCCGTCCATGGTAATGAAAATAACAGGACATAAGTATCTTTTTATTCTTATTCTCATGTGAATAATTAATACCTTGACTTAATAATCATGGACGAGCTTAGCGATGTAGCGGTTTAAAACGTCATACATTTTCATAGTTGCGTATTAGATTTCACACTTACTGTTGTAACTTTTGAAAAAGTCGTCTGCGTGGGTATTTCCTTCTATATATTTCAACCGTTAGGCAGATTGCTTTGTATGTTGTGTTTTGATTAAAGGATCACATAAGACACTAAAATTACAGTATAAGAGGCATAGAATCATAGTTCTCCGTAATGGAAACCCATAAATAATATTACGATCATCTCACATGACAACGAAATGACTGTATTACTGTTCACGACCATAGACGACGGTTACCACTTACCAACAGGTGGACCTTCAGTATGTTCCCATTCTATTTTTATATTTATTTATAACGCTTTATTGCAACAACATAGAAAGGACATAAACTAAATTAAAATATAAAAAAATAAAAACTAAGTACAATAGGCGGTCTTATCGCTAATGCAATCTCTCCCAGACAACCTTTGGTAAGAGAGTATTTACGAAAAGTAGAGTAGGTGGCGCATGAGTGGAAATATAAAATTATATAATAATAATAACTCTTTATTGCGGACACATAAACAAAGAAAAAAAACTACAATAGGTACACTAAAAAAAAATACAAAAGGCGGTCTCAACGCTATCAGCAATCTCTTACACACAACCTGGTGTTAACAGAGAAAGAGAAGGTAGGAGGCACACTACTACTACTATATTATACACTAGACAGTATATAGTTTATAATATATACTATATAATAATGGACGAGAACAAGAGGAAATTTAGATGTAATTCTATTACAAGGAGAAATATTTTCATTATATATTTATTCTTTATTGAACTTTTAAAAATTGTACAATTTGGCGACCTTAATGCCATATGGCATTCTCTACCAGCTATCCATTAGGTAAGAACAGAAAGCGGTTGATGGGCAGTGGTGTGAAAGGACTAACCTACAATTTTACCTAACATAGATAAATAGGTTTTTTTAAAAATACTTACAAATATATAATTACTTATCACAAACAAATACTTACTACACTAATCACTACAATACAATATATATACAATACACTAATCACAAATAAATACTTAAAAATATATAATTAAAAAGAAATTGCATGTGATTGTGCTGATCGAATGGGATATATACTTTTACATAAGATATCAGCGAACATACAGCTAATACGTTACATTATATTTACATTAAAAAAATATATATAATGTCACGGGCGCAGCTTGTTTATGTTATTATTCATTAATATGTACCCTAATACATAATTCAATCTAAGGTAATCACTTCCGGTTATATGTAGATTCCGCTCCGCCAATTCCCACATAATGGCTATTGAATAACCATCTCGGGCCCCGTTACACCTTCGATCACCTCTGTATTAGTAACTTCGATATCCATTTCATCTAAAAGATAGGCACTAGGCGTAAATGTTTCAATTTACTTCCTTATATTCACCTTCTAGTTACTCTTTCTATAGTGATATAAAATGTTATAATAATACTTAAAATTTAGACAAAAGTTATTCTCGTTGGATGTATAATAAATAATAAATAACTATAATGTCTAATATGAATAAATTTAATTTGAATTTAGAATAGAAAGATTCCCCAATATTTCAAATCGTTTAGCGACTATGCTATAAAAAAGTCAAAGGCACTCTTTAATAATAATACCGTGTTCAGACCACAAAAAGAAGCGTCTGCAATCGCCTTATTAAGAATAACTTTAAAACTTCTGATCAGATCATTACAAAAATGGTATAAAACACGCGAAATACCAGCTTTCAAATAAAGAAAGAGTTGTCCTAATCGATTCACGTAGAAAAAGCTATGAGGTTACAAACATAATAAAATACAGTCTAACTGAAAACTTCGTCATGTTACAAATTGGGTTTGTAAATAAAAAAAATTGTAAACTTCACAGTCATACCAATGCACCAACTGATCCACCAACCAATCCACTTGTAGTATTTTTAATGAGTGTGTATAAGTGAGAACGCAAAAAGAAGAGATTTACTACCCCAAATAATTAAAGGATCGTGGATTAGGCACTTGAGAGTTTCAAAGTATTAAATCCGGGGACAATCATCATTCCCGTCACGTTACTGATCAAGACGAGGGTTTGTTTGTGACAAGGGATCGTAATGAAGTCTTTATGTAATGCATAGAGTATCAGAAATGCAACACATTTAGATTACAAATTTATTCTCGTAGGAAATCTATTAAAGTAACAGTAAAATAATGAAAACTATTCACCTGTTAGTGTTTACCGGCGAAAAAATTAAAAATATTATGTAATTTATCATTGTATTTAATTTAAAAAATATTATGTAGTTTATATAGACAGGAGTGCAGAATGCAAATATTTTTTTTTTTAATTATGCACAAAATTATCTAACATCAATAGAAGAAATATTACATGTAGTGCATTCTTTTTTTTTATTGTTATTGCTGGTTCAAAGTAAGTTCTTTTTGTATTTTTTATTATGGTCGTATATTCACTAGTGGGAGACCAATTTCTTGTTCAAATAATAAGCGTTTACTGATGGTACAACTGGCCTTAAGTATGTCAGGTCTGCTAAAATTTCTCGACACATTTTTTATATGGATATTTTATTCAATATTCGATACGATTTTTTTTAACATAAATGCTTTCTTTTATCAAACTTTGTTCTAACGATGACAAAAAAAACGAAAAGAATTGGCTAAATAGATAACAAACATCGACCAGATATAGTTTTTGTACGTAACCGTCTATATATTTTGTCTCACCCATCTTATCTGGAGTTTGGAAATAGAAATAGAAATAGAAATAGAAATAGAAATAATCTTTATTCAAATAAACTCATTACAAGCACTTTTGAATAGTCATATTTTGATTCTACCACTCATTCGGAATGCAGATTCATCACAAGAAGAATGAGCAAGAAACTTGTGTGTTGCTCTTTTTAATAGATGTTTTTTTTTTTTATATAAATAATTACAGTGTAACAAGTAAGAGGCATGCGACAATCAACATAGAAATCGCTACGCACTCATTATTAGTGTAATCAGATAATATTGTCAGTGCTATGTATTTAAAATTTTTCTAGAAAAACATTATTATCGTTAACGAATTCTTCAATTTTATAGTAAGCTTTTTTGCAAAGGAAGTGTTTTATTTGACATTTAAATCTTTTTTCTGGCAGATTTATAACAGACTCTGGTATTTTATTGTAAAACCTTACGCAATTGCCATAAAACGAATTACTAACTTTAGCCAAACGACATTTAGGTAAAATCAGTTTGTTATTGTTACGTAAGCTTTTATTAGTGCAATCACTAACTCTTTTGAAACTGTCTATATTCTTCCTGGCATACATGATATTTTCATAAATATATTGAGAAGCAACGGTGAGGATATTTGATTTCTTAAAGCACTCTCGCAAAGACTCCCTGGAACCCATGCTATAAATGGAGCGAATGGCCCTCTTTTGTAAAATAAATATTGTATTTATATCAGCTGCTTTGCCCCATAACAAAATACCATACGACATAATGCTATGGAAATAGCTAAAGTACACAAGTTTAGCCGTTGCCACGTCTGTTAATTGCTTAATTCTTCTTACCGCATAAGCGGCGGAACTAAGTCGACTCGCTAATTTAGTAATATGAGCGCCCCATTGTAACTTGGAATCTAATGTGATACCTAGAAATACAGTATCATCCACAAAATTAATAGGTTTATTGTCCAACGTGATTTTTGAATCTACCGGCCTTACATTGGGGAGAGTAAATTTGATACATTTAGTTTTATTTGCATTTAGTAACATATTATTAGCCGTAAACCATTTTAAAACATAAGAAAGAGCACCGTTTACTTCGTCCAAATCATCAATATGTCGATTGATTTTGAATACTAATGAAGTATCATCAGCAAACAGAACTATGTCAGCTATCTTTTCTACCATATAAGGAAGATCATTTATGTAAACTAAAAATAAGAAAGGACCTAAAATAGAGCCCTGAGGAACACCCATTTTAATACTAGTTCCCTCAGACTTTACACCATTTATTTCGACAACTTGCATTCTATTATTTAGATAGGATTTCATCATGCTTTGTGCTTCATATCTAATACCGTAATGTTCAAGTTTGAGCAAAAGTGTTTCATGTTCAACGCAATCAAATGCTTTTGAAAGATCACAAAATACACCGACTGCATCCTGAGACCTCTCCCAAGAATCAAATATATATTTAATGAGAGCTACACCGGCATCAGTAGTTGATTTACCGGCCGTGAAACCAAATTGTCGACTGTGAAGCAGTTTATTTACTTTAAAGTGTTGCAGCATTTGATTGAGCATAATTTTTTCAAACACTTTACTCAATACTGGTAAGATAGATATAGGCCTATAATTACCTACCACAGTTTTTTCTCCTGACTTAAAGAGTGGAGTTATTTTGCTATGTTTCATTAAATTGGGAAAAACACCATCAGAAATACATTTATTGAAAATAATTACTAAATATGGAGCAATAACATCTATAGCGGTGTTAATAACTTTAACAGACATGCCCCAATGGTCTTCAGTATTTTTTAAATTTAATTGTTTAAATGTTTTAGTAATTGTAGCAATGTCAATAAATGTAAATTTAAATGTAACAGGACAAGAAACAACATTGTCAATAAGGAATGATTTAGCTGTACTAGGAGAAGAGTCCAAAGAGGAAGTAATATCAGTTGGAATATTAGCCAAAAAATTTTCAAAAATATTGACTATTTCTTTTGTGGACGTTACTAGTTTATCATTATAATTTAACGTAAAATCGTTATATGGACTTTTAACTTTTAACTTTGGAAGGTGAGATATGGCAGTAAAACTAATAGGTTACGAGAAAATTACATCTTATTTCGACGGAATTGTTTAACATTCCAATTATATAAAAAACGTGCAACCGTCCTGATGTAATGCTCTTATATTGATTTCTATAAATGTATTTATTTATAAGTATATACGTCTCTCCAGGGTGACTGGGCGTATCCCCACCGTCCAGGCGACTATGCAACCCTGACGAGGAAGTATTTGGGTTCCCTCTACTGGTCCACCTTGACTTTGACCACTATTGGTGATCTGCCGACCCCGGAGACCAACTCTGAGTGAGTATTAGTGACATTCTTTTTTATTTTACCAAATTGATTTATTTTGTTACTACTGCTTTAATTTTTAGTATTATTTAATATTATACGCGTTTAGACATTGTTTACTTTGTTTATTTAAATAGGTAGGCAAATATATTTTCGTTTTAAGTGGTGGTGTAAAAAACACTTAGCACTTTTATTTCTACAAATAATATCGTACAAAAATTATAACATGAAATAAACGTTAAATTTATAATTTCATATAACTGAATTTGATAGTAATGTTTTATTTTCATTTGGAAAGTTACCAAATGAAAATAAAACATGACTATCAAAATTTATAACGCTAAAAAATACATAATTGTAATAAAATTGCTTATTTATATAGAACTATGAATAATTAAGCCTAAATTATTATTGGAATAACTATATATAACGTAATAAATAAAGCAATTTATATTAGTTATTACGGTTTAAAAGAATTCAAACCCAAAATTAAATAACAGACCATCATGAAAATTCAAGGAAATATGTCGAATTGCTGATATGATGATTACTTTATACCAATTTAGAAAAATAACAGCATTAATGAGTGTCAAAGGTTAATTTGAGCAAATTATAATTGAAATAAAATTATAGTAACATATGTGTAGGTGTGTAGACTACTTAATTCTTATTCTTTATGAATATTAAAATCAATTTCATGATTGCTCCCAGCTTTTCTCGTATACGGTACGAAATAATTGTTTATGGTATAATATAATTAAAATTAATTGATTAATATTAATAGGTCATTAATTTACTTATTAGTATCAAAATATTGTATTCTGAGATTTAACTAATTTATTAAACATTTTAAATGGAAAATCTATCTGGAACGTAATCCAAATGAATTGGATTTAAGTTAATATTTCTATGTTTCCAATAAGAGCAAATTTTGAAAATACCCTCAAAGGAAGACTTCACTAGTATTCGATAGTAAATCTCTGTTCTGATTGTAGACCTAGTACAGTAATGAATTAACTCATAAATTGCAAATATTGAAAGATCTCTCCTAAAGTTGTAAAGAGCAATTCCATAAATTAGAGACTTTCGAGTGAGCCAGTGTTATTTTATGTGTGCGATATATTTATATGTATAAACACCCAGACAATATCCTGGTAAAAAAATATACAATATATACTTATTATTTATACAATTCAAAATATAATTTTCATTTCATATTATAATTTAATAAATACAACCAAATTTATATATAATTAGAAAATATCAACCTTAAAATCGTCGCGTCGCGCATCGTATGCGGCCCAAAGGTTGCCATGACGCCAATATCATTTACGCATTAAATTGCTAGAGAAATCATTTCACCGTAATACCACCTGGATTATATTTTATCAAAGATCTAATAAGTAATAAATATAAATAAATTACCATTTATAATATTTTCATAGTGTTTACTTAGACCATAGTAATCATGAGTAGGTGACTACGAAATTAATAATATTATTCATCAATTAAGATTCACGGTTGTTAATTGGAAATTAATAACTTATGCGGAAATCCAATAGGCATTCTACTAATGATTATAACGATCTTGAGCAATTAAAAAGTTCGAATGCTTTTGGAACGACCAGGCTGTTGTAAATGACGATAATATATTCTGTAATATTCGGTTTGAAAGCGAATAATGGCTGTAAACGATACAAAAAGTAACAATGTACCTTGAATATACGGAATATGTATTTAGTACACATACTTATGTGTATATGTTTAAAAGAGTTTACGTTCTAAATTTAAACACTAAAAATTAAATAATTTTAATAATTTGATATAATTATTGAAATACAAATATGTATTATGTACACTACCGTTCTATAAAATTTAATCAAATTGCTTATAAGAATATTTTTTATCTTAAGAAATTAATTATCATACGATCAAATAATAGAATAATAAATAAAAGGAAAAAGATGAAAAAGTATGTATGTATATAAAGTTCTAATGTTTTCGATTACTGTGCTACTCTAACAAATTATTCCTGTCTCACGTAAATTGTAGTAAATTCTAAGTTTTCATATGTAAAATTATTTGTCTTATGTGTTTTTAAAAAAATCATAAAATAGAAAATTTTGATTACAGTGAATTTTATTTGTTGAGACTGTTAGTGACTTTAGAGTATTCTTGAGCTGAATTTTATGGTAAATTTATTTCAAATGTACGAAAATAGTAGGTATTAAGTAGATTTTATTGCATGTTTGTATGGTAAAGTTATATGTCTTTATCATGGCTCTTGAGACACATAGATTTCCCCTGAGAGCACTCAAGTTTGTTACGTTCCATCAACATTTTCTCTTCTCACTCTATAAGGAAAAACAAAACACCATGACTGTATAGACAAAGGTCCTTTGCTTTCTTTGAAAATTTAAAAAGTATTCTTGTAATAATATTACAATTTACAAATTTACAATTAACATTACTGAAAGCAAAAAATTAAAAAAATAGTACACAGCCGTTATGCATTCACAAAACGGCTGTGTACTATTTTGTTAATTTTTTGCTTTCTATAATGTTAACAGCTTTTTATTTAATTTATAATACACAATTATCTACTTATATGACCTTATTTTACACATACTTTTATTCGATATTGATAGAGCTTTTTTTAATGTAAGTTAGTTACCGGTATTGTGGGTTACTTTATAAAGTTACCACTATAAAAACTAACAGAGAGGTTGTTGGTAGCACACTCGGAGGCCCCAAATTTCTGCCACGTCGGGGGCTCAAATCCCGCCTGCTGCAGTTCAAGTCCAACCGAGGGTACGTCAAAAAGCGCGCGAATGGTCAGATCATAGACATTTTTTACATATTTGCCATTATTTTAAACTATATTATTTCTTTACGCTTCAATATATCTGATGGTAATCAGATCATAGACAATTTATTTTTTTACAGAACCTGCGCAATAACCAGAGTTGAAGTAAAATTGGTACTGCGCAGATCAAGTGATATTAGAATTTTGATTTACCATAAGTACTGAAAATGTTTTCAGATTTTGCGATTACTCCTGGCAATTATAAGATATTTGATTATATTAGAATTTTAATTAAATATTTTATATATTGTTTGTTTTAACCAATTCTCGTATATCATACGTGTTACTTTGAAGTCTTCTTTTTCCATTAAAAATTAAAAAGTTGATCACTATATATAATCGACGTAATAAAATTTGTATATCAAGTTAAATCTATATTATCCGGTATATCTGCTGACGGAAATACCCATAACCAAAACCAAATGAAGCACGAAATTTTTTTGTATGTCTTAGTATTTTCAGTGATTATCTTTCAACTTTTTTATTCTGAGATAGAAATAATAATAATTTTCTTCTATTTAATTTTCCACATATGAATGAAATATCTATTTTTTTATTAGGCACCCAACGTGTCAACGTAATATTCTGATAAACATATTGGGAAGGCAAAGCGTTTGATTCTTTATATAGGTTTCGGGTCGACTACATAATACCCATATTATAAGTGAAGCGTAAGGCTCTTTTCTTTTATATATAGATATATGTATAAGCAGCTTAACCCACAGAAATATTACACGTATCAACACAAGTAGGTACAATTTCCAAATGTCAAGAGAGTTTTCAATTCTGTCGTATTTTTTTGTATGTTTAAGAAATAGGAATTGATAAAAGCAGAAATCCACTTAATGGAAAATGTTCTGTGTTCTATTTTATATTACTTTTATTTTACGAATATTTTTCTTATTATTTTTATAAGTAACATACCGTCACGATAGATATCCCATATTGGGTAACCAGAGGCATAGACAATTGTTCAAGTCATGGTAAACGAAACACTTGACATGGTCACAATTCGATGGGTATATTTGAATCCAACGTATGCTATGTTGAATAGGTGGTAGGGAGAGCCTATCTACCAGGATTTGATATCAATGTTGCCTTCATCGGAGAGTTAGTTGGAAATAATACTTGTCACATAAAGTTATTTAGATATATGGCCAGATTTCAAATCACGACCTCTTGGATGGAATTCGAGGTATAGTAAACTACTAAACCACAACGATATCTATTTTATATTGATATATAAATTTTAAAACTTAATTAAATAATAATATCCCATTATTACCTGAATAATTAATCACATCAAACTAAACAATTGTAAATATTAAATGATAATAATAATATTTAAAATATTATTGAAAATAACATAACACGTCATTAAAATATATTATACTCAAAAAGTCGCTAATCCATAAGACCTTTTTGAATACAGAGCCTACACTACGAGCACAATCAGCTTCTTGACAGAATCTAATTATGTTGAAACTCTAGAAAATAGGGTTAGTGGAATTATCTCGAAGTAGACGGTTAACGAATTGAAAAACTAATCTTATTACTCTGTAACTATCTGTCTAGATATAGGTAGTGGATATTTAAAAGTAAAGAGAAAGAATAGAACAAAAATAAAAGAGACGTGAATGGCTATGTTTAATATATATACATAAAGCATGCAGTAGATATAATAAAAAGAGGGCAAGAATGTTAGTTGAGAACGGGTTTGTAATCCTTTTATTAGATAGTTAAAGAGGCTCATTTTCACAATCTCGAATATATTTGGATTATTTGTAACAAGGTCTTCATCTTCATAACTGTGATGCAAGGTGGGGATATCGTATCTTGACACACCTACTTTTTTGCTGTGAGTGTCCTAATAAAGTTAATGAATACGAATCTTATGTATATCTTTGTAAATATATCTTTTTGTTTTTATTGTTTTCAGAACCAACATTGAAAGGTTTTCGCATTATTATAACATTTAAGTATCCCAAAGCTATATGTATAAAACTCAAATATTTATAGTATATATTTACATAATTTAAAAGTAAAGACCTCGGTGATTTAGCGGTTTAGCACACCGCCTTACTTCCGATGGTCGCGGGTTCGATTCCTCGCACGGCACAAACATTTGTATTCATGAGTATGATTGTTTGTATCGGTCTGGGTATTTTCTATGTATAATATGTATGTATTTACGAAAAACAACATCGTTTTGTCTCTTGACAATACTACTACTTCGTCTGGTAATATATGTATTTAAATGTAATATATAATATATATATAAAACACAATTTACCGTTTTGTACAAAATGTTCTTGTTTAATATCTATTACATTATCAAAATCGTCAAAGTAATAGACTTCATCTGAGAGTTTATATTCTCTCTGCCTTAAGATTTATATCTTGGAATCAAGTGGATTCTAAATAGATTACCATAACATTTTCTCATTCAGTCGCGAGCTTTATGGCAAGCCTGAGTTATTACCGGTCGAATGATCGGGCGCTACTCGTATTTCTTTTTAGTCTTTTCAGACATTTTAGGATAGTATACTATTGCTACTACAAATAAGTGTGTCGTTTACTAGAAAGCGTCATGATCTGGCGGTTTACTACTCTGAATTACGTCCCGGAATACGTGAGTTCCAACCTGGCCGACACCAATAAATAACTTTGTATCTATTAAAACACAAAGTTATATGTTTATAATAATTATGTATTAACATAATTATTATAAAACTGACAACATAACAATTGGATTGCGTTAATTTAAAGAATAATATAATAACGTTTATTGTTACTAATTTAACTACCTCTAGGTTAGTTTTATAAGAATCACATTATATTTTATTGACAATGAAAATTTTCGTCATTGGTGCGTCTATCACAACATTAATATACTACTTACTATATCATTACCAGTAAAAAAAACACTAGTTCCTTTGACACTTCACACACTGCCATTTAGTCCAAATCTAAACAGAGCTTGAAACTTGTATGCTACATAACTAATAAACATACTAATGAACGTCATTGTTTATATCGCTGTATTATGTAGATATTTAGAAATAGAAAAGAAAAGTGGTTCTTTAGGTTCTTCATATTTAGAATGAGTTGAAATTTGATATAACGAAATATTTTTCTTTATATCAAATTTCAACTCATCGACAATCGGACGTGTGACGCTGGATAATTCACATAGAGCCATCTAGTCCCAAGCTGAGCAGAGCTTGTGTTACGGGTACTGCATACCTGATACTTAGATACATTCTTTTTAAATATACACACGTAATATAAACCTAAACCTACCTACTAAACTAAACTAAACTAAACCTACTAAAAAACCTAGACCAATACAAATATACTCATGAATACAAGTGTTTCTATCGTGCGCGGAATCGAACCCGCTACAATCGGAAGTATAGCACAGTATACCACCGAGGCCGTCTGGATCGTGAATCGGTTCACACTCGATATATTCATAAATAATATATTTGATTCACTAAAGCATGAATTTATGTGGAAACAGCCTTCTTCTCAGCATGAGTAATCCTCGATGCTGGTGCCATTAATTTTCCTTGTCAAATCTCATAAAACACGCGGCTTGTTGCCATAATAAATATTACGAGATGAATGGTCCTGAGGACGGCCGTTTTGTACGACCCCCTTAGGGCAATACGTAATCCATAATCAATTTTACTCGGTAATCTTACCTAGTTGTTGAAGTAATGAATAAACAACTATTATATAACATAATTAATTAATACATTTTTATGCATATTATATTATTTATTGACGGCCTCGATAGTCTAGTGGTTTACCACTCCGCCTTACTTCCGATGGTCGCTGGGTCAATTCCTCGCAAGCTACAAACATTTGTATTCTTATATATTCTATATTTATTTGTCTGAGAGTTTTCTATGTATAATATGGTAGCCGGGTAGTAATTAATTTAAAATGCTTTCCACAGATTCATGAATCTGGTCGATATCATAAATTCCATAAACCATAGAAAAACAAAATAAAATTACCAATTCGTAAAAACTGAAGAGATATTTTATCCAATCTTCTAAATAGTTGAAGTAGATATATACCTATATCGGTAATAGTTTGGGTCATAAATTACGGTACCTTAGCATATTAGCATAGTCATAAAATAGATCGGGTCCGACCTGGATATCCGGACATTCTTTAACTCAATAACTTAGGTCAAGTAAATCTTGCACGTAGGCATGTGAGATGATATGTGGAGGGACTTTTTCTTTTAATACTATTAAGTCTGTTGCTACATTTGGATATATGTGACATATATATAAAACTAGCTGTGCCTTATACTTCATAAGCTTTATATATATTCCGCGTATAATGACGATAATTCCATACAACCTTTCATCCCACCTTTCAACCCTTTACAACCTTTTTCGCATTAAAAAGTGGCCTATGTCCTTTTTAGTGAGGATTAATACGTTTGTGATACACGCAATTAAATTATTGAATTAAAAACCTCTACTTTTTGAAGTCACTTTTAAATTATGGTCACAATTATCTCATATATATAATTGTCATGTCTGTCCAGGGTACCGTCCGAAAATACTTAACCAATTTATTGAAAACCTCATTGTGTCTAATTTGGTTCAAGTTAAATAATCGAAGAGTTTTATTGACGTCTATAATAGACCTAAGAAGCCACAGCAACATCTAATGAAATATACCTAAGTATAAAACTAAAGATAAATTGATAGTTATATTTATTTTGTTAATCTATCTATTTTGTTAACCCATATATCTATCTATATAAATATATAGATAGAGAGAAGGCCTCACACGCTAAAAGAATTTTATTAAACTCTAATGCCCTCGAGGCAACTGAACCGTCGTAGCTCGGCAAATTTCTACGTGGATAAAGATGGCTTTAGGCAACCGCCGTCATGCTGTTTGTTTAAATTATTCTTTGAAGTGGAATAACACAGAAACATGTAGATTTCCAGAAAAAAAGCCGTAAAAGAGAGTGCGCTTTGTATTCCGATTTGTTGCTGTATTAGAAGCTGTAAAATCTTATATTAAAATATAAAGATACTTATGACTTAGTGAATGAAGCATAAACAGTTTTGTAAGAGTATTAATAGTCGGGTTCGTGTATACATATGTAGTACTTGTAGTAATGTACTAAAAATAAGTTACAGACATAAATAGGTATATAGAATGAAATAAAATAATTAACAATTAAGAATGCAACGAATTAGTATATCTACAAAATAAGACTACTATTTTATTTTCCCGCGCAAACGTAATGCGCCACAGATTCATAATATTGCAAGGCGCGCAGCTGCAGTATGTAGGATGACGAGCGGTTTACGAGTATAGCTGTATACGCTGTTAATACTAAATATGAGTATTTCAATATAACAATTCCTAAACAATATAGTTTATTCATGTAAAATATATGTTCCATATATATTTCTTTTCCTACGTTCTGCAGCCGTTAATAAGCAAGTAGACAGTTTTTGCTGAGTAACGGTTTTATTATGTGATAAAGAAAGGTTAAACATAAACGGAACCCTAAGCATCTTGTTACTAAAGATAACGTGAGAAGCCACTGAAAATCCCATGACGATACAATAGCATGAATCAATTTTATTATCGTAAATATCCTAAGGTTTCGCAAACAATTTAGATGCCCTACACAATCCATATAATTAACAACTGTTCGTCGTCAATTGAAATATATACAAGTATCTGTATCCATTTATAAACTTCTTCCAATACATATAAATAATATTGTGAACGTAATTTATTTTTAAATTTGTTGATATGAAAATAATAACGACAATAATTCTTCCTAAATTATAATATTATATGTGTAAATGTATATAATTATAAAAAAAAATATATTCAATATAAACATATTCAATTAAATTAATCAACTTTTATATTTTACTAGCTACTCGCCCTGGCTTTGCATGGGTTATATGTTATTAAAAAAACCGCTTCAAAATTCGTTGCGTAGTTTTAAAGATTTAAACATACATAGGGACAGACAGACAGCGACAGCGACTTTGTTTTATACTATGTAAAATAAAATGAAGAATTGATCCGAATTGAATTCCTTTTATTTTGTTATTGGAAGGAAAGTGCCATTAATGCTCTGTTATTTACATAGAATCTCAGAAGGGTTTAATTTTTGTAAATAAGACGTTAAATATCTACGAGCTGAAAAAATTGGGTAATCGTATAATTAATAGGGCTTACATCTCTTGAATGTCAATAGGAATCTGTAGATTTAGGGCTAAACACAAATCATAATTGTACTAACAATGCGTCTATCCTGTATGGAATTATAATGATAAAGAAATTTATTCAATTTTATTTATAACAAATAATAAAATATAATTACTTCGCCTTGATTGGTTGTGAATGTCTTTGGTTTTCGATTTGAATAACTTTGTCCATAGATTATTCTTAAACTCGATTTCAATTTTAGAATCCTCGATCCACTTTCGTCGTTCCACGCAAAGTTCCGTTCAATTTGAATTTGGGAATTATTAATTCTCTTTAACTAAGACTTTCATTACATCAACGTTCATGTAAATATTGATAAAACATGTTTTATAAATCCTATATATAAATAATACAAAACGAAAACGAGAAAGTTTGTGAGAATCTTATATATAAAATTCTCATGTCACAGTTTTCGTTCCCATACTCCTCCGAAATGGCTTGACCGATTCTCATGAAATTTTGTGAGCGTATTGAGTAGGTCTGAGAATCGGCCAACATCTATTTGTCATCCCCCTAAATGTTAGGGGTAGTCCACCCCTAATTTTTTTTTATTTTAAGGCAAAACCACGTTTGCCGGGACAGCTAGTATATGGATAAATAAATGTTTATTATTGTGTCACACCAAATCTATTGTATGGATTCGAATAAAATTTTAGCATGCAGAGAGAGCTACAAGCTGACAGCCGACCTGGTAGTAAGTGGCAACTGTTAACTATATAGTTGAGTAGTGCCACGGATATAGGTCATCATATGATGGTTGTAGCAAACCTCATACGACAGAACCATCCGTTCCAGAGGACTGGTGTTATGCCCTCATACCCAGTAATTTCACTGCCATATCTCAACCTCCTACCGAAAGACTGCATACAAATAAACTGCTTTGCCGCTACTGAAATAGGTAAGACAGAGGTACCCACGCAAACGACTTAATTCAAAATCTATCTCTGGAGGGTGTCTGTAATAATAAAGTACCTTGATAAAGAACTTGACATTTTTATATAAAACCTAATCGTCTGTGACAATGGTTTAATATTTCTTACAACGAGATAACTTCCTTAAATTCTTTTATGCGACATGAATCGTTAATTAAGACGTTATTTTTTATGCACTGCTCTCCTTGTTGGAAGCAGAAATTTTGTAATTTTTGTAAAGAACCTACTCAATAAAATTATATTTTTATAACCCTATTAGGATAAAATATTCTAATCTAATCTGTGGATTATATTGTTTTAAATATTTCACTAACAGATTAATTTATTTTGTCGAATACTAAGACGAATTATTTATTACAATATGTTTGTTATACCTTATTTTAATGATCATACCTAATATATGAGTTGGTTTATTTCTTACAAAGTTGAATTCAAATGCCCGGCTAAATAATGTATCGTTGAACGTGATATTCGAAGTGCCTACTTCGAGTATCACGTTCACCGATACATCGACAGTCGACAATTGTATGCGTCTGTTTACCTTCTTTTGAACTACAATTGCTTGATATTATTAAGATCAACTATACAACAAAATTTAATTATTATTAGAGTATTATTATTAATTGAAAGTAATGATCTGACCATTCGCAATTTTTGAAATTAAAATAAACGTAATGAGATATACTCGTATCTATAATACAAATCTGTTTTCTTTCTACACAATAAGACTTAAGATTCCATTACACTGGCCTTGAATGTTTACAACTATTTTCCACAAAAAAAAAGCAATTACGTTTTCAATAATACGACGTTTAACACTATCAAATATTTTGTCGGAAGAAAACAGCCCGTGTGGAGTATAATAAAAATAAAATGACAAAAATGGCGGCGGCAGAAATTTGGAGGCTGTTCGCTACGCAAGAAACTTCGGGTAACGACAATAAATGTGACTAGTCCTTTATCATGAAAGTGTTTTTTTATTTGTTCCTTTTATTTATTACTCATCGATACCGACTCGAGGGAAGTTTATTAAAGTTTTCGAACAGCCTTCAGTGTTTGAAACCGCCATTTTGGTAATTGTATCGCTTCTCGTCCGCTTTGCTTTGGGGTGTTTTGTATTGTTGCAACTGTTCGAAAACTTTGCACTATTATTATTATTTTATGTTACTTTAATTTTTGTTGTTGTTGCTAGTATTAACCCTTGACCAAGCAAAATTTGAGATTAACAATCTTTTTATAGACTGTTTTAACAAAAACTATATTTTTAATTAATGGCGCTTAATTGGTAAAGGGTTAATAGTTTATTTTTTATTTTTGGTTCGTAGTTACTTTTGCTATTTATTATTTCAATCGTTTTATTTTTTGCAAATCACCCATTTTACGAAAAATGTAGATAAATAATATTACAAATTCAATTATGCTACAATACGATTCTCTAATTTTTACATTCCACTCTCTATTGTACCTTGAAACATAGCCAAATATTCTATAAAAATTAAAACAATTAGAGATTATATTATTTATTTATTTAATCTATAACGCATGAATGTAGGTAACCAAAATCTAACGTTAACTTTTATTATACCTAATTCTAAATGTAAAAATTCAAGTGCTATATTATAATATAATTGATTATAAAACCATCTATTTATATTATAGGCAGTACCTTCTTGACAAGTATATTATCTATTGTATGTAGGTATATTTTGACAGGTAATTAGGATAATGACTAAAAAAATAATTGATCAGCCAACGCATTAATAAAGTAAGTCTTGTAAGAACATGGTTGCATTGGTAGATGTATAAATATGTAATATCGTTTCCAAGTTAAATGAAATCTAGTACCTAACCCACAGCTGGGTACTTATTTCTGAGTAATTACACACCAAAATGTGCTAAATAAATAGAATCTTTATCGTTCACTAACACGAAGTGGTTAATCAGTTAATTAGTCTATTAATTTGGGAATCTTACTCTAACATAAGTTTTCATTACAATGCCGTTTTGTTATCATTTATTTTAACGTAAATTTTCATCATCATCAGCCCACTATAGTTCACCGCTGGACATTGAGATCGTATCTTGATATTAAGGCGTACCACATGGCGCAATCTTTAGCCCTTTCCTATTTTTTTATGTAACGAAGTTTCTATCAATTCTTATTGGTAACAAATTAATATAAATAGGTTGACGAATGTACATCAACAATTTGTTACAAGATAAGTTGTACAGTTCACAATTACAACTGCAAAATAGAATATACATTGTAATGAACAATTATGAACTTCGATACATAATGCCTTCGTATGCACCTCACAATGTGCTAACGACTTCATCCTTATCCTATATTTCGCATTTATCATTAGCGCAAGAAGATGCACCATTTATCATTCATTAAAATAGTTTAATGAATTAAACAAATGATACACCTGTCTGTATATTCCTACTACTTATTTGTATATATATATAGTATATATGTTGATTGTAGACGTGTATTAAAATATAAATTATGAATTCTCGGCAGGTACGTATTCACAATAGTGAGTTATTTGATTGGCGTATTCATTTTCGCCACTATAGTGGGGCAGGTCGGCAATGTCATCACAAATAGAAACGCAAACCGCCTCGAGTTTGAAAGGCTGCTGGATGGAGCTAAAACTTATATGCGTCATCACAAGGTAAGGAAAAATACTTTCTCGCTTCCTCCCTTTTTTATACTGCAAAGTACATACTCGTACTGATATAATAAATATGTATTTATGTCAACATGTACATGTATATTTGTTATCTACGATTCGAAATTTGATTCGCACATAAATCATATCCTAAATTTTACACATTATATATACGAAATATTTACTATTGATGAAGACAATCTAAACATTAAGTTAAATTTAATGCTAAAAAATATTTTTAGCACGTGGAAAAAAGTTGGCGCATGTTTTCTTTTTTTTTACTTGGAGAAAATCTTAATGGAGACCCACCCGCCCCGGGGAAGGCAAATGGCACACTATTTACTTTAGTTCTCATTATGAACATATCTTGTCTTGTTTTAATTAATTGACAGTTATTAAGCAGTGTTTATACTATGTATGTCATCATTGCCTACTCTTTCTACACATTTTAAATGCACATTTTAATTAACTCGTCGAATTGATGATGATGACACAAAAAAACATCTTAAGCCAATTCTTATTGCTATGTATATATATACAGTATTCAATTATAAATCTTATAATTTTGTAATTATGATATTTCAAAAATAATTAAATATTAATTAATTATTAAAACACTATTCAATAATGTGCATTATTTAATAGTTTTCTTAATCGTCATTTATTTTTTTATCTCCAGCCAATATAACATCGTATTAAAAGTATCTTTAAAAACTCTACTTAGTTTTTAAAGATACTTTTTATATGATATATGAATGTGAAATTAAGATGAACAATCTTTTGAATTAATTAATTAACTTTTTTCAGGTGCCAGGCGGAATGAAGCGGCGTGTACTCCGATGGTACGATTACTCGTGGTCGCGTGGGCGGATACAGGGCGGCGGTGACATCAACACCGCCCTCGGTCTGCTTCCTGACAAGCTGAAGACGGAGCTGGCACTGCACGTCAATTTGAGCGTACTCAAGAAGGTAAGCTGTATTAAATAAAACATTTTTTTAATATCATCATCATCATCATCGCAGCCCGGAAGACGTCCACTGCTGGACATAGGCCTCCCCCAAAGATCTCCACGACGATCGGTCCTGCGCTGCTCGCATCCAATGCCTTCCCGCGATCTTGACCAGATCGTCGGTCCACCTTGCTGGAGGCCTAATAAATATATTATATTAATATACATTTAAGTTTATTTACTGGAGAATTGCAAGTGTGTTGCCGATCTTTTAAGAAAGAATAAACTCCTTTCCTGAAGGTTTCAATATCATATCGATTCGGAAATACCATTGGTGGAAGGTGATTCCACAGTGTGATTGTGCGGGGCAAAAAGTTTCTAGAAAAACGCACGGTGGATGACCGCCATTCATCCAGATAATCAGGATGATATTTTAGTTATAAAATAAATAAATTAAAATAAAATAACTTAAATTGCGAGGACAATAGAACATTATATTGTATACCCCAAATTAGGAATTTTACCTATTATGTGCCTATTAGAACAATATGGCATACTTATTTCCCCACAATAAAGTAAGAAGTAATCTGTTTAGATTTATATTTTATGGTTTACTTTCGGTTTATTTTCAGGTTACTATATTCCAAGAGTGCCAACCTGAGTTTCTACACGATCTGGTCTTAAAAATGAAGGCCTATATATTTACTCCAGGGGACTCCATATGTAGAAAAGGTTAGTACAGTAGATCTAACACAGCCCTATTTAGACCCAAGCTAAGCAGGACTTGATACAAACTACGGATATAACTACTTATATAATAAATATCAATATATACAATAATATTTATGAAATATTCAAACTATTGATTCTTCGCACGGTACAAACATTTGTATTCATAAGTTTAATTGTTTGTATTGTTCTAGATGTTTTCTATGTATATTATGTATATGAAAAAAAAATATAGGTATCTATATTAGTTAATTAGTACCCCGCAAGCTCGGGACTACATGGTTGTATAATTTGTCGACAGATATTATAAATATTATTTATTTAAATATATTTAATGCCCATAAATACATGGTATAAAAGAGGTATGTAATGCCAAAAGCATTCCCTGCCAGATTATCTAAAACATTCTACGAGATTTTTATGTTTTTAACAGGCGAGGTCGCAAGAGAAATGTTTATCATAGCTGATGGGATACTGGAAGTAATTTCGGAGACTGGTCGTGTACTAACCACAATGAAGGCCGGAGACTTTTTTGGGGAAATCGGAATATTGAACTTGGATGGACTCAATAAGTACGATTTTCAGTTTGTTCTATTTTAGCAGTATTCTTTTTTTAAGTAATCAGAATGACAAATAATTTGAAATAGTCTGACAGAGACAAAACTAATACAAAAAAATAATGGAAAAAAGAGAACAGAGAGAAAAGAAAGTTATAAATTGAGAAAATATTTCCGTACTTTACTTTTAAAACAAAAATTTATTCGTATCTAGCGGTTTCGATATCACTTGTAATTAATTATTACGATTTTCAGACGAACAGCAGATGTCCGCTCTGTGGGTTATTCCGAGCTGTTTTCGTTATCCCGAGAAGATGTGCTAGCGGCTATGAAAGATTATCCTGAAGCTCAAGAAATATTACAGACTCTTGGCAGGAAGCGGTTACAAGAGGCGAAAAATATGTCACGGCAGAAAGTAAAGGGAAATAAAGGTACTACTTATATATAAATATAGACATATCATTTTATTTTTATCTTAATAAATAATTACTAAATAGGTGTACAACTTTACTAAAGATTACATTAGGAGATGCCATTGAATTAAAACTTATAATTACCAATATGTTAACTAGAATTGAAGATACTAATGTATGTTGAAAATAAGTAGATTCATAAATATAGTGACTAGACTCTAATATTCTTTTTTACAAATATTGCTGAAATCTCAAAGTTTTCTTACATTGATTATATAATACCACAGATAACATAATATTACATACAGATACCCCATCCCATACAAGAAAATGGTTCCTTCCTAACTCGGGCTATTCTTCGGGCTATTTTATTTCGCCACCGTAGCCGCTAGATGTCGCTAGATCTGAAGCAGTTCGGATTACTAGTGGGTGCTTAGTAACAAAGCATGAAAATAGATGGCAGTGAATTCAGTCTACATGACATCTGTTTTGCAAAGAAATGTATATAATAGATATGAAGGTAACTGTATCGTGTACCTCATTAGGGACGATTCAAGATTCAATGTAAATGTGTAGGTATAATATCGTTAGCCGACACTCTGCAGATATGGCTTATGTGCCAATGTTTTGTGTTATGGTTTATTTTACATTCCATGCCTATTTTTTTTGATATGTTGTAACGCGTCTGCGCTATACGTATAGCCTGATTTTGATACGTTTATACTCGTACGTATCAAAATCGGGCTATACGATTTTTTATTTCAATCGTTATATGTATGAGACTGATTTTAGCTACAATTAATTTACTGGTATATACCTCATGTATTCTACGATGTACCCCTCTTTTACCTAATGAGAATTCCGCTATATCTTATATATAAATTTTGTATCACAGTGTTAGTTGCCATATTTCTCCCACATTTTGATGAAATTTGATATGTATACTTCCCAGGTCTGAGGTAGGGTTGTTATCTATTTTTTATACCCCTAAGTCATAGGGGTGGCCTACCCCGAAAAAATATTTTTTTGTATTATGGACAATTTTTTATGTATTTTCAATGTAACATTATTGTTACATTGAAAATACATACACGCCTAAATTTTCACCCGTCTTTCACCAACCCCTATTTTTAATAGCGATATTCTTACAAATATTATAAATGCTAAAGTAACTCAGTCTGTCTGTTTGTCTCGCTTTCACGCCAAAACTACTGAACTGATTTAAATGAAATTTGGTAGACAGATAATGTAGACCCTGAGAAAGGCTACTTTTTAATGCGAAAAAGTATTGAAAGGGGAAATGAAAGGCTATATGAGGATATCGTAATTTTTAAAGTCAGATCTTGTAAGATTAAGTGAACAGGGTCGGTCTAGGTTTTTCATTATTAGAAATGTGTAACGGGGTAACACGTTATTTAGTGCGAAATTGTGTATATTACAATAAAATTTAACGAGAAAATATTATAATGATATCACTGGGACACTCATTGCCTTACTACTATATCGTCCGTTAGTCGCGAACTTTCGTGTTTCCAACACGAGAGGCGCTATCCTATTGGTCGGTCGGCGCGGTTACCGCGCGTAGATGAGTAGATGAAGTACTTAGACGAGTCTCACGGCGCCGCAGCGTAAGTACTTACTATACATACGTAGTATACATATGGGTATTACAAATGTTTTTATTACTAGTAATATTACTCTGTTATCTAAGCAAGTAATGTGTGCTTATTTTGAACTTGATAACATTCTGAATTACTCGTATATCTTTCAATATCTTTAGCGGTATAAACCAGGTTATGTACTACTACTAGTATTGTTAGTGAGGGATAAAGTTGATGAACAAAAATAAAACAATATTCGTATTAAAAATATATTCATCTAATATTTTTGGCATTATTTTTAAGTTTCTTCCAAATATAAGGGGTCTGACATGGGGTGTTATGTACCTACATTAAAAAATACTTTTTGAAATGTATGAAAGAAACGTATTGTATGAAATTTTTGAAATGTGTGAAATGTATGCACCTACATTAAAAGATAATTTTTGAAATGTATGAAAGAAATGTATTGTATGAAATTTTTGAAATGTATGAAATGTAAGGACCTACATTAAAAGATAATTTTTGACATGTATGAAATGTATGAAAGAAATGTATGAACCTACATAAAAAGTTCATTTTTGAAATGTATGAAATGTATGAAAGAAATGTATGTACCTACATTAAAATATAATTTTTGAAATGTATGAGATGTATGAAAACAATGTATGTACCTACATAAAAAGTTCATTTTTGAAATGTATGAAATGTATGAAAGAAATGTATGTACCTACATTAAAAGATAATTTTTGACATGTATGAAATGTATGAAAGAAATGTATGTACCTACATTAAAAGATAATTTTTGACATGTATGAAATGTATGAAAGAAATGTATGTACCTACATTAAAATATAATTTTTGAAATGTATGAAAGTAATGTATGTACCTACATTAAAATATAATTTTTGAAATGTATGAGATGTATGAAAGAAATGTATGTACCTACATAAAAAGTTCATTTTTGAAATGTATGAAATGTATGAAAGAAATGTATGTACATTAAAATATAATTTTTGAAATGTATGAGATGTATGAAAACAATGTATGTACCTACATTAAAAGATATTTTTGACATGTATGAAATGTATGAAAGAAATGTATGTACCTACATTAAAAGATAATTTTTGACATGTATGAAATGTATGAAAGAAATGTTTGTACCTACATTAAAATATAATTTTTGAAATGTATGCACCGTACAATAACAATACACGTTAAACATCATACCACAGAGTCATACGCAAGTTAAAAACAAACTGCTATGATATTAATGAGAAAGGAAAATAAACTTTATGGTATTCGAGTTAGGGTCGATTTCTCTCTTTTTTTAAAACTATTTTAATCTTACCAGTTGCCAGTATTCGAAGACAGCTACGATTCGTACTCGATATTTTAAATTATTATGTAATCGATTTTTCAGTACAAATGTAAATAACCAACGACACTAATAATGTACTACTATATTCCGTTCTTTGAAACGGAATACTGCTATACTTAATACAAAATAATGAAAATTTACTGTTCACAACGACTCATTAAAAGCATCATCGAATAATGCGCTGTAATAAAATCCTGTTATCGATTATTAAAAAAAATCGATAATACATGTATTTATTTTTAATATGACAACACTTCATACATAAGTATTATTGGAAATAGTATTATTTGCTTGTTCGGCTATTTTTAATTTACTTAAACTTTTTTTATATGTTTAATTTACAATAATAATATATTAAGTGCTTATTATTGGAAAATATAAAAAAGACATTTAATTAGGCCGATACAAATGACAACAATGCCATCTATGAAAGCATTTTGAAAACATTGAGCCCCGTATTAGCACTGATTAAAGTGTAATTAAGTACTGGAAAATAACAAAATGAGTAAATATATGAAAATTACTTTTCTAAACGCATTATTTCATTTTAACATGTATATATATTTCTTTTAAAATGGATTAAACTATTTTGAAAACACAGTTTTGTTTTTTAAAACGTTTGCAAAACTATGAAGAATTCCATCGATACCAATCACGCCATCTATATGCAACTTTTAGCAATAATAATGGCTATTTCCTCATTGAGTGCCACTGATAATACCAATATTTAAATATATGGAAACGCGAATAGCACTAGTAAGTAGTGTTATTCCTGTTTTCGTCTGCAGAAACGATTAATCTCATAAAATAATCTTGAAGATGGTGATTGAAATAAAAGATAAATGTTTGTGCAGACTTTTTCCATCAACATCTTTTAATTGATATCTATGCCTGTTTTTGAGATGCAATATATCTTTATATCAAATTTCATTAAGATCCGGTTAGCCGTTTACTCAGGAAAGTTAACAATCTGACAGACACTATTTCGCATTTGTAATATTGGTATGGTTTATCATATAATAATATTATATTATTATAAATATTAATATTACAGGTGAAGTGCTAAGTCCTGACAAAATGGGCGGCGAAGACAGTACATCCAAAAGGATTGTCCACAAATTGCGAAGCGATGTAAAGGTAATTAGTTATTTCAATATTATCATAAATAAAACCTTTTCTTTTACTATGGAAAATTCATCATGGATACCCGCCCGCCCCGGGGTACGGAGCGCTTTGCGTGCAGCGATTGCTGCCGCAGTCCCGGGTCGTTGTGACATTCTACCGTGAAATCCTAAATTAAACCTAGTAACCATTACATATATATATATGTGTATATATGTCTCAACATAATTACTCTAACACTTGTCAAATAAATTAGTTTAATAAATAGCAATATTTTAAAGAAGTTTGTAGTTCTTTTCAAGCATTTAAAACAATTCGCTATAGAGGGTACTAGACTGAAACACATTTATTTACACCACTTATATTTGCCACCGTCGTCACGAAAAGCAGTCATCTAGTAACTAAAATCGGTAACATGTAACAAATTTAATTTTGTCTTATAGTAATTTGATCATTGTACAATGCTCTTTTAATCACTTTATAGTGATCAACAGTAATGCTTTCAAAATAAGGATGTAGATTAAATTCGTTTTATATATTGTCAGTTTGTACCATCCAGTTAAGATCTCTTTGCGTTACTATCAATGCAGTTTTCGATAAAAATAATTTATTATTTTAATATTTTTACTGTACATCCCTCTAGGGCATTCGCAATGCAATCCGTAGTAGATCCCGTGCCGGTCGTCGTTCTGGAGAATCGTTAGAACTACAAGCCTTAGCTGGAGCCGAGAGAGCAACAACAGATGGGAAAGTGCTTAGACGTATGCCTCGAGTTGAGAGTGATGACTCGCAAGCACATAACCATGAGGTTTGTAATCTTATCGGAATAATTTTCCCGAAAGACAAGGCGTACAGAGTCTTCTACTTATGTTAATCTTGATTAATTCTGCCGACGAATACCTTGTTTTAAAACTGTATTCCGTTTTAAAACACGATATGACAATGAAAGGACATTCATTGCAATTTCATAAAACTATATCATTTAAACCAAATTGCATAAATAGTATAAATATTTTGCAGGATATCAATGGTGAAACGACTTCAGGTAGTAAAGACGGTGAAAAATGTATATCGCCTATAGGCGCTGGTTTACCTTTACTGACAAGACTGAAACTACTAAAAGAGAAACAGGTAAGAGTTGCTTCTGCCTTACAATTAAACAAAATTGTTTAATTATAACTATTAAAATCTTCACTGATTCCAAAATTAATTAATCATTATTATTAGCTATACAATTATGTATTATTATGTAAACTAGCTACCGCTACCGCCCCGGCTTTGCACGGGTGTACATATATTATATATATAAACCTTCCTATAGTATCACTCTATCTATTAAAAAAATCGCTTCATCGTTGCGTAATTTTAAAGATTTATATTAGCATACATAGGGATGGGCAGACAGCGACAGCGACTTTGTTTTATACTATGTAATGATAATGCTTATTGTAATTCTACAGGATCGTGAAGAAAAAGTCGCCAAACAAAGACTGTCAACATCTTCAGTTGTATCACCGCCACCTAGTCAACCGATACCGTCAACAAGTTCTGCTCCAGATGGAGAACCCGAAATAATAGGCGCGGGACTTCCACTTCTGCAAAGATTGCTTCTTCTCAAAGCAAAAGAGGAAAGGGAAAAGCATCAACTTACTCCAACGAATAGCAACCAGCCGTCGAGTTCAGATACCATCAGTCCAAGTTCTATAAAAAGTCCCCTAAGTCCTACTATAAAAACTTTAAGTCCTATTCGAAAAGGATCTGAATCTAGTTCACCTGGAAAATTACACAGTCCCACAACTAAAACGTCAAGAAAAAACTCTTCGGGATCAAGTGATGGTGCCTCTCGTCCTAAAGTTAGTTTTAAAGATAAGATATTACAAGTTCAAAGTGACGGTACCGCGGTATGTCAGCCACTAAATAGAGATATCAGTGAAAAGCCTGCTGCAGTAGTCGAGCCTACTCCGAAAACAGAAAGTCATTTAATATCCATTCCACACTCTGTTGTAAGTAAAATAAAATCACCAGCCAAATCGGTAGGTTCATCTTTTCGTGATAAACTTAAGTTATTACAAGGTGGGGGTGCACAAAAGGATTCTGAAAACTCGTCTATAGAAAAGAGCAAGCCACCCTCTTTAGATAAAACTCCTGTAGAAGTAACACCAACACAAACAACTGATGCCAAGGATGATACTAAAACCAAAAAACCTTGGACAAAATTAAAAAAGGCCGCGATATTAGGAGAATCGAAAAGTCAAAGTAAGTCTAGTGTGGATGAAAAGAAGGAAGATATTGTAACTAAGGAAATAAAAGGGGACTGTATATCAGAAACAATTGTAAATATAACTGTACCTGTTGTTACTACAGCAGAACTTGTTAAAATAGACAATAATAATCTCGAAGTTGATAGTGATAATGTTAAGCAAGATAAACCTAAGATTTGCTTAACAGGCCCTTTGGAACCCGTCCAAGAAAAATCTTTAGATTTATTAACTTTATCTCCAAAGAAAATTAAAAATGTAGATCCTAAGCAATCAAGCGCTGGGATGCTATTACCTAAAGTAAAAAAATATAAATCTATTGACGACTTGTCACCAGAGTATGGTGGACTACCGTTTGTAAAAAAGTTGAAGATTTTAAATGAAAGACAGAAATTAGCTGAACTAGAAAAAGTAGTTAAAACAAGAAGTTCTAGCTTAGATTGTACAAGTTCATCTGAAGATTTATTATCCGATACACTCACTAGAAGCCATTCAGAAGGAAGTACAATGGATAAAAGAAAGTATAAAAGAAAATCAATAGATTCTGTTGGAAGTCATGGATCTAATGAAACACTAGAACGAAGAACACTGAAATCCATTTTAAAAAAATTATCGGAAGATGTTACTCCTTCAGAAAGTCCTGAAAGGAACAATGAAATTAGAAAGTTAATTAGGGCACCTACTCTAGAAGGATATGCTGCGAGGCATTCTAAATTTGCTAAAAGTGTAACATTTCATCGTCACACATTACCATCACCACCTAGCAGTGCTCCGGCAGATTCTAGGAATGATATTTTCCAAATGCCAGAATATAATAAAGAATGTATGCCCCAAATATCGTCTCCTACTCAGAGTATGGAAAATGAAGCTGTTTGTCCTAATAATCAAATAGTAAGACCCACAAGTGAAAACATACCTCAAGATTATAGCTTGAATATAACAGCTGAATATGACATTCAGCAACATGTTGATCCAATGTATGACTTTAAATCCTTAAGACCTGAAGAAATAAAAGTGCCTTCGGACAAGCCCAAATTAACACTAATATCGGCTGTCGCTAATCAAAGGAAATTGTTAAGAGGTACAGATTATTATCAATATGAAAAATACTTATTATCAATATAATAAATAATTATTGATTCGACATAACTCCAACTCTTTCTTGATGTGATTTGATTAATATAACTGTGTCTTGGTCTTCACCCTCCCCTACTTCCTTCTATTCTTTCTTTAATAATAATATTCATAAATTATCATGTCGTATGTATCAGGTACCTAAGTCCCTGTCTAATACATGATTATAATAAAGATTAATTATTAATAAATCAAACACAAAATTCTAACTTTATATATAACACTTGGTGTTATTGCTTTGTAGGTTCGCTAGAAGAACAAGAATATTTCGGCGAAGTATTATTAGGTATCAAACAAGTTATACAAGGGCATCTACATGATGTCCAAGGAAAATTTCAGGACAGGTAGGTACAATATAATACTAGCATATTATTCCTTATTGCGCATTATTCATTAATACTCATTTATTTTTCTAGATTCAATAGTTTAGAAAATGAAGTGCGCAAACGGGATGAAATCATAAGTCAACTTCAAAAACGTATTCAAGAATTAGAAAAGTTGGGTCTGTCAGGTATCTCATCAGCTGTCCAACCACCTGAATCTGAAGAAATACTATCTACTCCCGAAAGTGAACATATCACAATCCTACCATTTACTAAAAATTGCAGTTCGGGAAGCGATGATAATTCCGGAGCTGAAGAAGGATTTATGGTAATGCATATTTTAAAAAAAACAATAGTATAAAACAATACTTCTAATTAATTTATATTAAATTTGTTAATAATATTTATATAATTAGATTTCTAAACCGGTAAATATCGAAAAAGATATACTTATTTTTATTTTATTTATTTGAGCGACCAACAAAACACACTATAAAATTACAATTATTATCTCTTGGAAAAAGTTTATATTATATTATTTATTAGTTTAGTTTATATTATTTTTTTACTTAATCTGTATTAATATATTTTTCATCGACAGAGAGGTGATTCCCTTGATACTGTATTTGCAACGTCACCACCGACTGCGAGTGCTGAAGAAGAAGATAAAGAAAAATCTGACGTAGAACCAACTATGATGAGGAAAACGTTATCATCAGATGATCTAACGGAAGAACGATTGACCGAGATGACTGAAATAGAGTTAGGAAAGTTATCGTATTCAGAATTGCAGAGTTTGGCAGAATCACTATCTAGTAAAGTCGATAAAACATCGTCAAGTAGAGAAGAATGGACATTAAGCAAATCAAAGAGATTAGATTTAAATCTAGATGGTAAGGCCGGGACGTATTCGAGGAAACGTGCTGCAAAGTTGAAACAGAGGAAGTCATGGGAAGATCAGAGCGATCAAGAGTGTGTAGAAATGCATGATTTGACAAGGTAAATAAATAAGGCTAACTTATTTTATTATTAATTAATAAAATTTTAAAACATAGTCCTATTAAAAAAAATATGTGAATATATATTAAGCTTTGTAAATTACCAAAAAAATATTATATTATCAGGCCAATGTCTCCACAAATGACATCAGAGGATAGATCTCTACTCAGCCCCGAACAATCTAGTCTCCGCACCGGCCGTCGAGGTATCCATCCCTTCCACTTCTTCGGTAGCCATCTCGATACAACCAAATCAAAAATAAAGAAGACCCTATCTGTTGATACTGGAATGCACCATACTGGAAGAAATGAAAGGAGTAAGTAGAAACAAGAAAATCTGGTTACTATTTGCTAATGCTTTAGTAACAATAACAAGATTCATAGACATTTCACAGAATTTGGAAGGTATTAGAGTCAATTTATTGATACCATAAACGTATTATAAATATTCCCTTGTCTATTACTTCATTATTTAATTTTGTAACCCATTAATACTTTGTGTTTGCCGTACTTAGTGCCAGTTCGTCAACGTCAACAACGCAAATTCAGTCTGGGATCATTCTTCGGGTATCATCGAGGTTCACCGCATAAACCTACAAACAACACCTGCAATGAAGTCGTACTCGACATCGCTAGCGATTATAGCTGGAGCGATACGTAAGTATCAAAATGGACTAAGACTTTCATTTCATGCATTTTAATTTAACTACGTCGGTAAAGCATATTTACTTTCAATAAAAATAATCTGTTCAATATTTCTCTTCAGTACATCAACTTCATCAAGTAGTGACTCAGAATCGTTACCACGAACGCCAATGTTTGAAGAATTCGTAGAAAACAATTCTAGAAGAGGCCGTGCTAGTAGCTCCAGCCACAGCAGCATATCGCCTATTAGAGGTAAAATTTGGTCTGCCTTTCCAACTAAGTATCAAAACAATAAAAATCTTATATTATACAAGAGTAAAAGTAACGTTCGACTAGCATCTGGTTTTGCAAGAATATTTTCACTACAGTATGATTTATGCATTAATGGTAATAAAGATATTTACCTAGAGGCGTCGTGAATTATGCCCAAAAGGTTATGACTTCAAATCTCGCCGGCTGGTCATTTTATACATATTTCTGCTCACTCTCCGGTGAAAGAAAACACCAATATTAAACCAAAAATTATTCCGAGAGAAAGCAGTAGGCATGTCAGGTGTTACCTTCGCTGCAATATCAAAAGTTGATAATGCCTCTGACTACCCCATCTGGTATAATGGTATAATCATAACGGTATATATGTGGTGTGACGAACATTCTTTGTACCGTATTTGTATATTTATGCCCGCAATAAATTTTAGCGAGTGGAGGAGATTGGGAAGTCATGATGCTGGCTGATGAGTTGGAAAAGAGAGAACGAGAAAAGGAGAAAGAAGAATCGAGACGCCATCATTATCCTACTCACACACTCAGAGACTTGGAAGAGGTTTGGCCAATAGAATACAAAGAATATGTTTTTTTTATTTTATTACTCTTATAATGCCATATTTTGTCTACTTGAAAATTAACTGTTACGTCTATCGGTAAATATGTAAGTCGTCCCTCATAATATACGACTTCTTATACGGGTATAAATTATCGGACGCGGAACAATGACCACATAGATAAGAAATTATACCTCTAGTGTAACTACCAGAGGTATAACTCCTTAATAGTAATGTTTGTATAAATTTTTAATAATATGAATAAATATTTGACTCTAGCTACAAAATTCTGTGGATACTTATTGGTTCTATAATAAAACACTTCACTTGCATTCTTAGACTAGAAAGGAGCATAGAATTTCTCGGCATCAGAACATATCTTAGATTCGATTATGTGTATATGTATATGTAAATGCAGCATCCGCTGATCTACCGCGATTATGGGAGAATCTATTAAAAACAATACTAAACTCAATAGAGTTGCTTTCGAATTTTCTATGACAGGAATGCGACACTCCGCAGAGAGAAGACAGCCCAGATGACTACTCCAATATCGAGGAGACCAACTCGTCGTCAACAACGCACCTGCTCGGCCAATCGGTGGTGGACCCGTCGAACTTACACGAGACTTCGTTCACAGAGCACGAGAGGGAAAGCAGACAACAACGAGTAGGATCACTTGTCGATACAGTAAGCAGATTACATTGACGATTTTTTGGCGTAATAGTATAGACAATAAATATGATACTACACATAAATTACTACTTGTAAACTTTTTACACTTTTACTAATTGAAAACAAAACAATGTTACGTTAATCGTTGGTTTTTCTCATAGATGGGTTTATAGAAAATCTACAGGAATCTTGTTCAATACCATGCTATTCTTTGTACATTATTTTTTATGTAATGGTAATAGCATACAAGGAGACGGTTCACCGGATGGTAAGTGGGAGCCCACGCCGACATACTTGAACGTCACAACGGACATAATTTTGTCATGTGATACCTATGCTACCACTCATGCATTACCGAGTGGTTATGCATGAGTGAAGACTTAGATGCTCTACTGGCATATCTTAAAATTTCACTACCTAATCTCACCTACAACAGAAACACTTCTTACAAAGTTTTTGCTTGGTGCCTGAGATAGGTGAAACTGAAATCCTATCCTATCGCCTATGACTTTTTACAATGTCTGCCTCTATATAACTGAAAAAAATAATTTTCAAAGTTCCGGTTTAAATATTTGCCTTAAATTAGATTGCACTCATGAAGCCGCTACACTTTTTATTTTTTAATATTAAAGTAGGTATATTATAGTTTTTGACTTGAATAAGGGTAGGATATACATAAAAGCTAATGATATAATCTATCCAATTTACAGGTAAAACCAGATTCATCCCTTCGGCAATCAAGAGGCCTAATCCTCCGCGCAGCCAGTCTAGACCGAGAAACTGCACAACCCCCTTCCCAAACTAAACGCTTCGGCTCCCTGAAGAGTTCCAGCACGGACTCTCATAAGAGACTCTGATCCGGTTTGCGACGCGGACCTCGAGAGAGATCCGATAGATTGGAACCAAAGGGTCCAAATAAAAGTAATCAAAATAAAACCGAAAATGTGATACGAGGTAACACTCAATACGATGGAGATAGTACGGACATAGGTGGTTTAAGAGAAGATTTAAGTAGTATTGACGATAATCTTTCTGCAAGAGACGACATGCATCAGAATCACATTGGTGAACGTCGAAATAACAACGGTAGATATCGGAATGAAACATTTATTATTTCAGGTCGAAATGAACGAGAGAACGGTATTAGTGATGACCAGAGAATGATTATTGGTCAATTATTGATGGTAATTATTATAATCTACGAAGACTTTGACTATTTAATGTTTTTAATTCTAGAATAGTGGGTGAGATGTGAATCGTGATTGAAAGAGAGATACAGTTTTTCGTGTTGTTTTCTATCTGTTCTTATTGGTAATTTATCTAATATAGATTAAACTGTATTAATGTATGATCTAAACGAAATTAATGCGACAACGTTATTCTTTAGGTTACCACCTACTGATAGTTTTAGAAGTTTGACTTCATGTATAAATTAGGAAATGAAAGCCTTTATTAAAAAGAAATTTGCACAAATGAGTGCTGTTTGATTTCTATAAGGTGGTGAGTAAGAATTTCACTCTAAATACTTTACTAACACCAGCAAAACGCATAGATATCTAAATAATATCAAAATGCGAAGAAATTAATTCACTCCGTGAGGGATTGTTTGTTCAGTCATTTATCTGATCTAGCTTTGATCTGACATATGTATTGTTGATTACCATGAACAAGAGGCATTTAAGTTGAATATCAAGTCAAGGAACGCCAATATTATTTTGCCATGAATCTTGATGTAGTTATACATAGAAATATTTCACTATAGACTATACTTTGTGATGATAATATATTTACAATAGCTAGCTAGCTACATAAAAAAATCAATATAGTAATTAAAATAAAAATTGTATAGCGACTTGAATAAAATAGTATATTACGATATAAGTGCGTTATGATGGTTACAAAGAAGGCGAAGGCGTAATAGAGCCGAGTGTGTTAAATACGCACGTATATCGTATGATGATGATTCAATACACTTGCGAGGAAACAGAATAAAAAATCTATTATATTTTGGTCATCATGACACTTTCCCACCATTTTATTTTTTTAAATCAACCACTACCTGTCGCTGGGAGGCAAACAGTTCGAAATTTGACAAAAAAAAATGTAAATAGTGTAGTTATGGAATTTGTTTTCACTATTTGCGTTAATAACGTGTGTGAGCTGCTTTATATATCGAAAACCGGTTAAACTAGATCCACTTTACGATCAAGTGTGCTGAAAATATTATTAATGATATTGTACCTAATACATACGTAGTGTCATGGCTACATACTAACACAGACCGTTATTTTGACCAAATACAATGACCAAATTATTGATATTACTAATATCATAAAGAATCGTAGAATTTCCCACAACGTAAAATCATCAAGTCTGTAACATGATATAGTCTTCAATCTTCTGATACCTATATATGAAAATTCCATGAGGCTATACTTTCCACAATATATTTAAAAATATAGGATATAAAGGAATGTGAGAAATATGTAATATGCATGTAATTTTAAAGATTTTACGACTATAGAAATTGCCAATGAAGATTATGAAATAAAAACCGACGCTACAAAAGCTAAAAGGCTAAGTCGGAGTAAAGGAATTATTCTATTTCTTGAAAATTAAATTTTCTTAGTAGAATGATCTTTATGCAGCATTTTACTGCATTGTGATAATTAGTTTATGAGTTGTCAGAACTTGGTGGTGATAAATTGCTTACATTCACAATTATCATGATTTCGCAGAAGACAAATTAAGAAAAATGTTACTACGGTGAAAGAAAGACATTTGCAGGGCAGAAATATATAGCACAATATCAAATTTATCCATATATATATATATAGATACTTACTTTTATTATAAAATTGTATTAATATTAGATATTATAAAAAATAAATGAAACAATTTGATGTCCGTCATTAAGTTATAAATATATATATCTAGTGCCAAATAAATCTATATTATGTAGTCCTTTCAAATTTCTAATAGATGTTACAGAATAAATTGTTGTAAATATTACTTTATTATACAATTAACTACTATTTATTGTTGTAAGTATCTAATTAGTGAGATATACTAAGTAGGTTACTAAATTATTAATAGTTCGTATACATTTTTATTATTATAATTATTTTTTAATTGACGCAAATAACTATTAATTTATATATTCACCAGTCGACGTATATATCTATTACCTACTTACAATTTATATATTCCGGGCTATAAGTAATAGATTTTTAAGGAATAATAATCTAATGAAATTTTAATTTGCGCTAACAATTTTTTTAAATTGATGATAATGCTATGGTGCTACCGCCTGCTCTTACGGTACACGCTGGCGGGGCACCATTGTAGATGATAAGATGAGATTGAGGTCATGTTAGCCCTTCGCGCCAAATTTATCACGATGGACGTCAAGGAGCCGCTTGGAGGCCAATCTAACATGGTACATAGCTAGCAATGAGGCCATTAGTCCACATTACTCACAATCTGCTTCCCCCTGATAACGATATATTAAGTGGGCGACCAGTGGACGATGATACCATGAGGATGAAGTCCGTCAAGTCAGTTACCCATTCTGACCAATCCATAGGAATTAACTACTAATCGTCGATAGGGGTATATCGCTTGGTAAATTGGGAAATACATTGGTAAAAATCCCATCCCCCAATGATTTTATGGGATATTAAAATTTGCATAGTCATTTGTTCCGAAGTGTCAAATATAAGACTAAATAATGAGCTAAACTGAACCATATAATTGTATTTATCTCTCCACTTTACAGTTTCCCTAAGTTTAAACAGATTTTAAAGTTTTAGTTAGACGTACTTACATATAACTAAAACTTCATACTTTGAATGTGCGTTGGGTGGTATCCTGTATATAAATATATTAAAACAATTAGTATTTGTATTAGATAACATAAAATATGGTGCCATTACGTAAATCTTTTGAATTATATTTAAAATGTTCCACAGGTAAGTATTTTAGGTGAGCGCTGTCATTCTAGAACAGAAACCTTAATATTATTATGAATAATTTGTCGTCTTTTTATTGTAGGTAGATATATTTTCATATACCTATTTACATTTAAAAAATCATACTAATATTACAAATGCGAAAGTGTCGGGCGGTCTATATATTCGTTATCTTTTGAAGATTAAACCACTGAACGGATTTTAATTCAGTCTGTATAACGAGGGCAGATATAAATTATCTCTTATTAAAAAAATACCTGACTACGTTGAAAGTGATAAGTAGTATGAATAAAAACCGGATATTAGCTTTTAATAAATATTAATTGCAAACCTGCTTTGAAATATGCAAGGATAATTATTTTATTTTCAAATAAGATTCAATCAAAAGTGGTATGTTATATCATCAGGCATATCTAAAAATACCTGTGCTAAATATGGCTGAATGAGGAAACTTGTTCGCTCCAACACTCACTTTATATTTTTTAAACTATTGGTGAAACAACAGTAGGCCTAAACTTTTATAATAATATTTAATTACAATATTTATTTATTTATAAATAAATTATTCGAATTAGTTTCTATTTCATACCTTTTATTCTTATTACTGCAGTAAAACAATGTTTAATTTACTTAAGTAATAAAATCCGAATTTCATTAATAAACATAATCTATAAAGTAATAAGATAAATTGGGTACAATTCAATGTTTTTTAACATAGTGATTGTAATGTTTTTTTTTATATAGAGCACAACATAACGTGTAGGTTTTCTAATGAAATACCCAACTACCTAGATTTAATGAAGCCCAACTAATATAATGTATGAAAGATATTGTACTTATATAATAATAAGAGCACTCTAGTGAGATAGTGATCTACTAATCGATCATGACGAATGTAATATTTTTAATTTATCATAATTTAGTTCTAGGTGTAAAATAATACCGAGAAAATAAAATTCATTAAATAAAATGCTTATCATTTTTATTTATCCTTTCCAACCTGTTCTTATGCTTAATATATACTGCATATCAACCTGTGAAATCTTACTAACACATATCCAATTCCCAGTCGATTAGGTATATATATTTTTTATATGGAGGATGACCGTGAACCCATCTACGCTAACAATTTACTCTAACGGGGCATCGTTCATAGGGAATTTCAATTAAATTATCTTTTAAAAAAAAGGAAACTAGACAATATAAGTGACAACAAAACCTACTACTAATCATATCATATACCAACACAAAGTAGATGGTAACAACAATAAGTCTTATACATGGCAATTCATCAGCTAAATGATATATATTCTTTTTTTTTAAGTAATTTGAATAGCAAACAAATTAATGGTGTGATTGTAGTGGACAGTCGTCTATATATGTGAAGTGTGAACAGCACTACGGATATCATGTATAAAAAAATAGTAAAAATATTTTTGTTGTTTAGTATCAGTCAATGTCATTATTATTGTCAAAATTTGTGTCCATTTTGTACTCTTTCTGGTCTGTACTGCGTACTGTGCTCGTTCATAGGTCTGTGCAACAAATGAACAATAACAGATGTCATTTTTCATTAATAATTTCTTTGTTGTCATTCCTTCGAGTATTTAATTACATAGAAAATATTAAACAAACATGTTGATGTAAAAAATAACAAGTATTATAAAATTATCAAACCAAAAACCTTGCCGACCCTTATTTCTTCATTGCAGCATAACTATAACTAGTAATTGAAATTGATTAGGTTTGTCGCTCCGCGAGCGGGGCAAAATGTCGCCTCGAAAACAACCAAATAGTTTATTTAAAATATGCGTTAAAAGTTGCATTACTCTGATAAATTCTGCTTGTTGTGTTATTGAAAAAAGTTATCCCGAAAATATGTTTCATGAGTGTGAGAGGCAGGCGTTTCAATTGAAGTGCCACTTGATGTCAATGCTGCCAGTCAGGTACATGTATGAACAAAATGTTTAATAACCATCATATTATTACAAATTACTTCACAGAATTTAACCTTATTTATTCTGTGAAGTAATTTCTAAAGTAAAGTAAACAAAACATTAAAGTCACCAACACTAAACGAATATATAAATATGACATTATAAATATGACACCCTGGCCAGACCTGAAAAATAATAACATACTATACAATGGTCTTACAAAATTCCACATGTACTCATAAGTAAACCACAATCAATTCATATTGCATGATAATAATGTGATCTAGTCATAAAATATGCTTCAAGTGTAATAATTTGCACAATTTACATTTATTATGTTTGGTAAGTTAGATTGTATAATTTTGTGTCGATTAATAAAGGCTTTGAATTTGAATTTGAATAAATAAATTAAAACTCTATTAAGTGTTTCTTTGTAAAGAAAATAATGTTAGAATATTTATTTATTTTATTTATTTATAATTCTCTATTGCACCAATATTAAAAATAATTACATAAAAAGAAAGTTATTCATTTGGATTGTATTAACAAAATTAAATTACTTTTTCAGGTTATTTGATGTCCTCTGTTCCGAAAGAACATGCTGTCAATACCGCGGTGACCCCCGTGTCCAACTCCATGTGCTCACACACCCCAACATGACAGTCTTCCGCAAATGCGACCTCGATAATGGAATACCCCAAGGATTTTGGATCGATACCCTCTCAAACTTCAACAGATTAGCTGTACTTGATCTGAAATTCATATGCACAGATGAAATTCTTCAGGTCATCGGCATCAGTTGTCCATTATTGGAGGAAATCAATATAGTTTCCAGGGTAGACATTTGTAAATCACTCTTCAATGCTTCTGTATTAATAAGAAATGTGTCAGATACTGGTCTTTGTTCGATTGCAAATTTAAAACATTTGCGAGTATTAGCTATGGATCCGCCTAGGAATGAGAGAGTAATTCGCGTAGGTCGTTGTGTGTCACAAGCAGGTATTATTATGTTAGTCAGTGAGCTTCCATATTTAGAAGAATTACGAATAGAGTCATGCGACATTGGTTCTACGTTGATAGGTACAGCTATGGAGATAGGTCCTTTGAGTCTTAGAAAAATTAATTGTCATTTTGCATCTGCAGATGGTATACGTAAATTAATAAAGATATGTCCCTTCCTTAAAGAGTTATCAGTTACTCATGTCTTTGAACATAATAAGGATGCTATATTAGAACAAATTTCTATGAGTGATTTGAGATTAAATAGATTAGATTTGTCATTCTTCTCTTATACAGATTCAATGCAACAACTTTTAAGGCTAAAAGGCACATATTTGACTCACTTTTCTCTATGGGAAATTGATAATTCGTTAACATTGGATGCTATTCTATCTATAGGTAGATGTTGTCCGAATCTCGACTCCCTGTGTTTAATGACGCAATCAAAGTGTTTAGTTATCCCCAGATATTTTAGAAGACCCAAAAAAATATTCTCCGAACTAAGAAATTTGACGATAGGCAATGAGAATTTTAATATTGATCACATATTGACTTTCTTCCTTGAGTGTACACAGAATTTAGAAAAGTTAGTATTGAAATATCAAACCAATATGAATATTGATGAAACTTTAATACATTTACTGGAGAAAGGTGTTTTTAGAAACGTGCATAGTTTATGGTTGGATTGTACTTTAGAAGTGTCTAAAGATGTCGTGAAACGTGTAATAAGTACATGTGAAAAACTTCAAATGTTTACTGTTGATTTTACAGAAGAGATTAATGATGTACACAAATATATAAGTGAGAATAATTTGGATTTGAAATTGGGTAGTTACTAATAGTATAAATATTAACTTTGTATTTATTGAAATATAATATTTAGAATTAAATATATTATCTATTTTTTAAATCAACTATTATTTATACCCATCCTATCTTTTTAAAACCTTTGTGTCATAGATTAGTTAAGGGCAATTAACTCACGTGCTATTCACGTGCTCTGGACTTGAAAAAACAGATCAATCGCATTATTAAGGACAACTCGAAACTTGTCAGATCTTGATAAAATTTATGTTGAACCAAATGAGAAGCGCCAATTATCATTTTAAAATCATCAAACTCGGTTCACATTTCTATGTGTATACTGTAACTGTATTTTTAAGTCCGCTAGAAATAAGCCGAGTACAACATGGTCTGAGACCATAAATATATTCAATGTAGGTGCCATTAAAATGTTTGTCTTCAGATAGTGCTGCAAAGGCGATTTGCTCACTGGTGAAGTGATATAGTTATTAGTTTTAGGATAGAATAAAACTGGTATGTATTTTTAGTTCGTACGAGTCTACATTTCAAAGAATTACAAATATAATAATTTAGTATATAATCAATCATATACCGTCAGAATATTCTAAACGGGATGCCTGACGCATTTTTAACAGTCGACATTATAGTCAAACATACCGAAAAATGGGTATCAATAGTTGCGTTAACTATTGACACCCATTTTTCGGTATATTTGAATTCAAATTAATCTCCGTTTCGCAGATTAGTGTGATTTGTTATCGGTGTTTCAGGATGTGTCAGAGTCGGTCAGAAATATTATATTGACACGTATTTTTAAGTCAATCAGATTGAAACTCGCTACTTTTTTGTGCAAGTCAGAAGTATTAAGCTACGACGCCGTATATTTTGTATGTACCTATCTTATAGATTTATATGTATTTCAATAAATTAAAATACTTGGAAAGTGACAATAATGAAAAAAGAATATAAAATAACAACTGAACTTATTAAGTATAAAAAAATATTTATTTAACTTTGATACTTATACATATTAATCTAAGTTTGATAAATGACACAATTTTATTCAATATAATGGAATAAAAATTATAAAATAACCTATATAGTAGTAGTAGTAGTAAGAGTTGCCTTTACACGTACCTACGTCCTTTATTGCGCGGGAATTCGTTTTTTTACGCAGGAAATATTGTGTATTTAAATGTAGTCAAAGAGAACGAGACAGACTACTAGTGCCGCCAGTTCGCGTTTTCTCGCATTCAGTGCTTTAGGCACTTTTGCAATAATTAATTATTAACATTGCAAAACGAAGGACATCTGACTATAGAGCAGAATTTATTTATAGACAATTATACATTTATTGATATAATCTATATATAATTAATAATATATTATAAATCTTAAACGTATCGTTGAAAAGTATGTGAAAAAAAAAATACAATTTTAAAAGTGAAATTAAACATCACGCGTAAAATGCAATCCCTCGCCATTGCGCGAGACTGGCGACGCTGGCTGTCCCGCGCTAAATCGGGGGCGCTGTTGACAACGCGTGAAAGAATGTATCGTGTAAAGGCATTTAATAATAAATATAACAATATTCTAAAATATCAGCATTATATATATCGTTAATTATAATTGTTATTTATATTCAATATATTGAGATTATAAGGTTTGTATTGAATACAGGAATTACTTATTTCGTACATCCCTATGGGACCCTGTATACAGTGGCGTAGTTACGTAACCAAGGACCCTGGGGCAAACCTAAATACGAGGCCCCATTGCTTAGCACATATCGCTATCCGTCAAATTAACAACACTGCCAACCCACAAAAATAATTTAGGGGAATTCCGAAGGTATAACTTTCGAATTTCTCTCAACTGAGTTGCCATGATTAAAGTCGGGTTGCAACCTGTTATATTTATTTTGAAAATGGGAGAAATTTTCAAAAGTTCAGCTCGAGATTTTCTGGTAAGGGTTCGAGGGCCCCGGGGCACTGCCCGTCCTAGCTCCTAGTTAGCTACGCCACTGCCTGTATATATAGTTTTTCTTTTTGGTCGCAATTTTCGCTTAAAAATTGTCGAATACAATTTAGAAAGTTCACTTTCTAAATTGTATTCGATACTAATAAATATAAATTAGTGATATATGTAGTTAGAACATTCGGATAAATGAGTTATTATTTCCATTTAGTGAGTGCTCATAAGACAATTTTTAAGATACATACATTTTCTATAAGATCTATTGACATAGAATATATGTAATTTATTTTCAATTGATATGACAGGAATACATTACAATATTCTTTAACCATTATATTTCACATAGCGCTATGAAAGTAATGAATACAAATGTTTGAATCCAACGAGTATCGAACTCACAACCACGGAAAATAATGCGGTGTGCTAAGCCGTCGCGCCGAGACCACGTTATTATTTTAAAAGATATAAATATTTATTATGTATAATCAGATATTTCTTGTTCTAGTTTATATTACTATATTCTATAAATATAAAAAGCTACTTATCTATAACATTATAGAAATATTACTAAAATCGGCCCAGCCGTGGTGCACTTGATTTAACAAATAATCTTTAAAAAAATTCAATTTTACTCTTATTACTATTCAATCTATAAAATGACACTAAAAGCGGCGCAGCCGCTTCCACGTGATCACAGGTAGACGGACGTAAACAGATTCTCCATAGACAATAATGTCAATGTTGTCGACCACAAACTTGACATGTGAAATATGTCATCTTTAATCGATGCATTTCAATTCGGTCCTGATACGAAGTCACTATGCAGATCTAGTAATAATTATGTCAAGCAGCCTGCCTCGTTATAGCAGTCCTTACATTAATGTTATTCTTTTATATGTAACTATATATACAGTTTACAACAACCAATTAACTCTAATTATTTACTATACATTGAATGCAGTAGAAACCTTAGCACTTAATATAGGGTCAATTGCAAAGGGTTTACTAAGCTGAACGCCAGATAGTACTACTCATAGAAATTGATAACTCCCAAAGCGGGAAATTGAGAATAATTATGAAATCTAATATTTTATAACTGTATACCATGGAGTTGTTTCGACATCATCCGAAAGTGTCCTTTGCAGACGCTACAGTGCCTCGCCTCGCACTCAGTTGTCGTGAAAGAGGAAAATAATAATTAAATAGTTAAATAAAGTCTAGTACATAGATATAAAAAATTTAAACACCTATATACAAATTCCAAAGCAAGGGAAACGTTTTATCATTAATCGAATTTCGATTTTTTAATTTCAGTATCATGAGCATTACTCTGGTTGGATTATTATTCTTTAAATTTAATTTCAATACCATGCAAAAAAGGTTCTAATGCATTTCTATAACTAAAAAAATGTATAAGGAAACCACTATCACTAGGGCGGCAGATAGTATTAGTAGTGGGCCAATTACTAGCCATGTAGTTTAATCAAGGTCAACCTCCATGCAATCCTCCCTGAAATCTTCCTGGTTAATTGCTTGTTGAAACGCCAAGATGGCCTACCCAAAATTCTTCACTAGTGTTCCACCATTTCATCATCCCATTATCGATAAGAAAAGAAACACTATCACATCTTATAATTAAAATCAGTCCACATAAAATTCACATGCACAAAAATGTCCACTTATATCACAAACTTTTTTTTATATTTCTTAAATATTGTCTCATGTCATATGGCCAGAGGGTCAGTCAGGCCATTTGTATGCTATGGTTCCTTCATCTCTATAGTTGAATCCTTGTCGTTGTCTTTTTCGTCATCATAGAACTCATTCTTGGGTTCCACCATCATATCAGCTTCCTCTTTGCAAATCCGAATATCTGGATCTAGCTCATCTTTTATTTTATACTCGTCGGGGAAGAAGTCACCTGAAATATCAAAACATATCGTTTTATGTCTACATATACTATGTTATATATTTTTTTATTGATATTATATGAGTACATTACAATATTTCTTTTTAACCTTATATTTCACATAGCGTCATAAGACTCATGATACAAATGTTTATTAATACACTCTTTCACTCGTAATTTGCAATGTTTCAATATCATTTCTCTGTATTTTTAATTTTATTTTTTATACCACAAATTTTATTTTCCAAAGACACATTCACCTTTAGTATTTAAAAATTATCAATAAAGGCGCTAAAGCATGCATGATTTGAAGACGGGAATGCGCGAGCTGGCGTTGCGTGCGTTCTCGTATTTACACTTTATGGAATGTAAACATACATTTTTACATTAAAGCTCATTTCTTGAGTAGTATTTATTTATATTAACGCCATAACGCCAACAAAAAAAAAACGCGGGCTGAAGAATGAATCGGGTGGGTCAGAAGATACGGATCGCCATTTCATTGAAATTTATGCAGCTGTTCTATGATATGGTAGTCGAAGGACGATGTTTTTTTGAACTAAAGTTTGCTGTTGACATTACCTGGCACATGCGTCATCTGAACGGCAGGCGAATGCTGGCACATCTTCAAGTTGTCATATACGTGCTTCGTTATAGCCTCCAAGTACTGTTTACTGTTCGCGTTGTTCGTACTATGAAACAATAGTATAAAGCAAATATATAAACTGATAGCCCGTGATCATGGCGGTTACAACACCACCGAAATATTGGGAATTCTATAATAATAATTAAAATATAATAAGATCCCTCTATGTTTCCTAATTTTAAGTATAAATAATGACCGCGTCAAATTTAAATGATATATAAAATGTATTATATTATTGTTTTATTTCGTACCTGCTAATTTCTGGATGCAATTGGAAATCGGGTGCGAAAAATTCCAAATACTCAGTATAGGGCAGTTCATTTGATATGTTCTCGTCAACAAGTAACGACGTCTCGTACGTCCAACACCGCGCCACGTTTCTTAATGTATAGCTGTAAAATAAATAAAAAAGTTATTACAATTTTAATTGTATATCAATTTAAAAAGTGGCGGTTCTGATTAGAATAACCTCTTTGTATTATCTTTCTTAATTATATAATACGCACAAATATTTCGTTTTTATTTGGAATGAAATTTTATTAGTTAATCCAGTATTGTACTAAACCTGTAAATTAAAATTATAAAATCATAACAAGGCGAAAATTATCTGTTTGCGTGTTAACGTTTCACGCAGAACTAAGGAAATTGATGATGATTTGATTGATTAAATTTTCACAGAATATGTTATTGAATATAGATACATTAACATACATTAAAAAAATGAGAAAAAAAAGCGAGTGTTTTTATTGACAGTGTTTAACACGTTACAAATGAATTCCTTAAACAAATAATAGATGACGCTGTATAAATTCATTTATTATTGTCGTCACATTACCATTAAAAAATGGTGAGCTATAAAAGTAATCCACGCATACTAGATCGCGGTACTACTGCAAGAACACTTACACTAAAAGATACAAGCAATGTATTACATGTTAAAAAATAAAATATATATTATATATATATATTATATAATAATATATATATATATATATACGCGTTGTACCTATGTTAGTAGGTAATAAAACAATATTTTATCATTTCGTATTTCCCATAACAATTAGCACCTGCATCCCAGAAATTCCACTGCCACATCACGCCCAACAAACTGAAACTTACAAAGTGAAACAAAAGTCATCTATGCAGGCAACTTCTTCTTTTTATATTGTGGTGAGATGTATCGGCGTTACTTGTGGCTTGAAAATAGCCATAGATATGTCATGATCATGTGACGAAGTACCACTCATGCGTTGCCATTTCAGAAAACTAAGATCTATGGCCGTATATTATACCCTGTAACTTGTATAAATGCTTACCCTCCTCCGCCGACTACTAAAGTAGGTACGTTTAGATTCTTCACGAACTTGACGCACTCTCCGTGGCCACGGGTGGACAGCGAGAAGCAACCAAGTCGGTCCCCAGCCAACGAATCCGCGCCACACTGCAACACTATCGCGGTCGGACGGTAGAACTCCATTACATTCGATATCACTGGTTTAAATGCCTGGAAAAAAATTTTTTCATTTATTATGGCGCAAAACAGTAAATACAAATTTTATATTTATTCATTACAATTATTTATTGTAATGAATAAATAAGTAGATAAGAGGTATTTTAGATTTTTTAAATCTTATTATTTGATTGAAACACAACAACATAGTAATCTTAAATATATATTCAACCTAGTTTAAAAAGTATTTTTTAAACTAGGTTGAATATATATTTAAGATCTTTCTCTCTATTTCTATTTATTTCAGTATATTTAAGGATATATCAAATAACAATCTAATATTACTGAAATAATAATTTGTTAATTTTGGCATGAAAGAATTTTTTTATTTCTTGTGGCACAAACAATAAAATATATATACAGTAAATATAACAACTGTAAATAAAAAGACCAAACAGTGCCGAAACTAAAATAAATAAAAGGTTATTCAACAAATCATTCACACATGAGAGGCTGATTGCGGAAAACAGAGTACAATTTACATTTACATTTACATCATTCACACTCAAGAGCGTCCTGGCTTAGTTGTTTTAGTACTGTGAGTCGCCCGAAATATAGTTCTTTGGCCGACACAAAAAATTCTCTGGGTGCCATTTTCTAATTATATAGAAATATATAAATAATATTTCATATTCGGTGAAGGAACACTGATATCAAACTAGAAATTATCGAATCCGCAACCATTGTTTTGTTTTGTGTGCTGAGCCACCTAGACCAAGATAGACTGTCTTAAAAAATGATAATAGAAATATACCTGAACATAACTCTGGTCATCTATTCCTTCTTTTAGGGGTACATTCACAGAGTAGTATCTGCCACTTTCAGCACCTATTTCATACATATCTCCCGTACCGGGGAAGAAATAATTCCCATATTTGTGGAAACTGACTGTCATTACTCTATCAGTTAAGTAGAATGCTTCTTGCACACCATCACCATGGTGAACATCTATATCAATATATAAAACACGAGGGTGGTACTTCAGTAGTTCCAATATGGCTATCACTATATCATTCACATAGCAAAAACCTGAAATTAAAATAAAATATTTATTACTAACAATCCTAGCATCTGAAAAAAAAATGAGATTACATCACATCACACCTCAATGGACGGGCATTTTCTGCTAACGCCCATAAGACTACAGAATCTAATTATAGCTAGAAGGGCTGATTACAGATAAAAAAGAAATAAATATAAAAAATAGTACATTTTTACCAAAATTTACTTTATAAGAGGTCATCTTGATAGATGTCATCTATTATTAATATAGCTCTTTATTTACTATAAAATTATTCCCGTAAAATACACTGGAATAATTTTATAGTAAATAAAGATATTAACCTCTGTCTGTCTGTCTATCTGTTTGTTCTGGCTAATCTCTAAAATGGCTGGACCGCTTTTGACAAGACTTTATTTTAGAAAAAAAAATTAAATTCCACATGCACAAAGTCGCAGGTACAGCTAGTATACTTATAAGTTAGGTCCATTAGCCCATGTTGACAAATTAACCAGGAGGAGGTGAATACGGTAAAATGCTAGCAATTGAATCACTATTCACCATTACCTGCCCTAGTGATATCACAGTTTTTAAAATGACGATTTCAGTACTGTTGATGGATACCACATACCATCAAATGGACCATTAAGTTGTTTGGCATTCCAGCTAATTTAAACATGAAACAGCAATCAGATTGCACTATAATTACAGGGAATGTATGTTACAATGGATGTAGGTACTACATTATTTTACATGTTTAAAAAATTCTTTACCAGAGGGCTCAAACTTCTTAGCATGGTGTAATCCTCCTGACCAATTAATGGCTATATCACATGCATTATTATTCAGTTTCATTGCACCCTCTAAAGAGGCTCCCGTATACATAGAACAAAAATCAAAGAGCCCTTCAAAGACAGGGCAATCATCACCAACATTGTAGTGGAGCAAGTCCTTTGAATAACCTGGAAATTTACAAAAAAAAATAATACATACAAGATAATTTGCAGGGAAGATAGTTTATCATGTTAAAGACCGCAAGCCCACTGGTGGGTCACTCCGTAACCAACAAAGGTAAATTTACATGTTGGGACTGGGCAATCACCCATGGGCACTTCAATAGTAATAAATGTAGGGGTTAAAGAATATCTACCTCACATTATTGTACACTAAAAACATATTTAAAAAATAATATACATAAAACAATAAAAAAGATCCCTATGTGAGAAATAAGATTTTTCAATGCGATCTTTAATCCATTATACAAGTAAAATTCAGCACCCAGATCAATAGAAACTCACACTCATGTTTGTAATATGCAAGGAATTTAATATGTAACTGTTGATAGTATAGCAGTGTCATAAACAAACAAAATTTAAGTATCTAAATGTTATTGAAATACAAAAAAACTTACTTTGAATATTCTGTGGGGTGACGTTTTGCAGGAATTCTATATAATCTTCACTGTGAAAGCGGCACATATCGTGAGCGCTAGCCCTGTAGGGTCTGTAGATTTGCATTTTTTTGTGAAGTCCATAGTTTAATACCAAGCTGTGTGTAACAGACAATCTGTGTGGTTTCATCGGATGGCCGGGGCCATAGTGAAAATTACCAACATCGGCGTTATAAAAATACGCTACCCTGTGCTGAGTCATAATGGGTAAACAAACACGTATTCTTTTAAAATATAAATAATGCCAAGAACCAAAGCTATAATAACTAAACGTTTGGTTAATTGAATATCACCTAACATGCTGTGTGATCCATTTGAATTAGGTAGTGGACAAATTTCTAAATAAATACGTCTTAAATGAAATATATAGAAAACTAAACATTTATTGAAGTGACTGAAAACTGAAAAACTTTGTATTGAACGACTTATTATTATTTTTTTGGTTGTTTGTCCAATAAAGGTAAAGGCAGACTTCATAATATTTGACATTTGCAACGACGCTGACATTTCTTTTATTTTTTTAGTTTCGGAAAGGCAAATGGGCTCGCCCCATACAGCCATTTATGACTAATTATTGAATAACTACCTAATGACTACTAATAACAAATAACGCTTACATTGCGAACGCTGGCTGAACCCAACGAGTTAATAAAAATAATGTACTACAGTAGTGTACATCTCAAAAAGGTCAACAAAAAGGTCCGCGAAGGCATATATCTGTCTCTTACGGATAACCCACAATAAACATTTTTCATCCTTTACATTTTACGGGAAAAAATGGCTTAGAATATTACTAATAGCGGCCCAGCCGTTGTGATCACGTGGAAAAAGCTGGGCCGCTATTAAACCGACCGCTAGGCGGTCGTAAATAAATTTTATACCAATTTGACAATTTATAGACAATAAAATCTGTTGTCGATCGCAAACTTAGACGTGCGAAATATGTAATTTTATAATCGATGCATTTCGAGTTGGTCCCGATACCATTGTTAAGTCATTCTGCAGATCTATTGATAATTATGTCGAGTAATCTGCCTCTTTATAGCACTCCTACATTAATGCTATCCTATTGTATAAACTGTATATATACAGTTTACAATAAATAATACTAGTAATTTAATAGTGATTAAAAAATTATTGAATACTGTAGAGTCCTCAGCATTTTATACAAGGTCAGTCGTTTAGGCTACATAAACCCTTGGGTTTATCAAGCCCAAAGCTAGTGATAGTACTATTGTATACCTACTAATAGAAGTGAACAACTTTTCCAAAGGAAAGCGGAAAATATAGAATAATTTTAATAACTAATATTTTATACTATAGTTAACTACACCGTTGACGGCTTCGGTGGTCTAGCGGTTTAGCACACCGCCTTACTACTCGCACGGCACAAACATTTGTATTCATGAGTATGATTGTTTGTATAGGTCTGGGTGTTTTCTATGTATATGTATGTATTTAAGAAAAAAAAGTATCTATGTATTTGTATCAGTTGTCTAGTACCCATAACACAAGCTTCAGCTAGCTTAACTTGACTCTAGATGGCGCTGTGTGAATTGTCCTGAGATTATTATTATTATTATGTGGAAGTCTCCTTAAGGGAGTTTTTTTGGGTGGGTACTTACCTAAGTCACTTTTATTAGTTACGCTATTTAAATAAAATAATATACTTAGAAAATACTTATTTATTGAATCAAATAATTTAAATAATCTACATCTCATCAAACATATCATGAACATCTGATTTTACAGTTACCTCGGTCATATCAGGAACTGTATCATTTTCATACAACTGACTCTCTTCATGACTATCTGGACTTTCATATGTACTTAAAACATTTTCTTCTTTCAAAATAAAACCTAATTTCTTGTCATTAATAACTTTTAGTATATCATCATTACTACATTCAGCTAGTGATATTTTGTACTGCATATACCAATTATTATAACATGATGGATCAGTTTGAACACATTTGTTCCTAAAATATGTTAGTGTGTTCAATGCTTTCCCAAAGTTTCCATCAAAATTACTATAGAATAGACGTTCAATAGCGGTAGACATCTGTGATGAAAGGTCAGGCACTGTTTGATGTTTATCCAACAGAGTTTCAAAATCCATGATTGGATTTTCTGTTCCAATGCCAATTACTTCATTTCCTTTTGCTGCATTCAGATGGACCTTTGGTATATCATTAGATGGATCTTTGAATTCCACTATTGTTTGGTCATCCTTACTATCCAATAGTGGAGCTCTATTATCTTTTTGATTCTTTACTCTATGCTCTATCTTTTTCAAAATAAACAAATCTTTTAAATTATTAAGGGGATCCCTGCTTCTCTTCTCTACCAATGGAGGTACTTTGAATAACATCATGATATCATCTCTAGGCTGTGGGAGAGGTTTCTCAGGATTCATTGCTCGAAATGCTATACAATCTAAGATATATTGTACAGATGGACTGACTGTTTCTGCAATGGGAAATGCTTCTCTATCATCATATGTTTCATCATACGCATTAGATAAATTCATTGCTTTTATAAGATTTTTAAAACCTTCAACTTGCTTGTTTGTACATTCATATTTTTTAAGGTTGGTAACTGGAAATGCCATATATTTTATGTCTTCTTTGTAACAAATTTCAATCATTGATAGACAAATATAATTATTTGTATCTATTACTGGGAATAGAGCATACATTTTGGGTGCATTGCCTTTATTATATACACGTCTAGCAATAGCAGCCAAATTCTGGTCAAGTAGACATTCTACAAGACATCTTACTGCATATTGAGCTTTCTTATCGTCTTTTCGTCCAAATACATATGATATACCATTACCATTTAAGTTTTCCCACTTGATATTATTTACATCAGTAAACCCATAAACTGACAAACATTTTTCACCAGACTCATATGGAGTTTCATAAATATTGCTATTGGGAATAATATATTGACCATAATAGTAACCCTTTGTTATGTCATCATTTTGAATGACGGTTTGGTTTTCTGTTACATATGTTTTGTGTTTTAAAATGGCTTCTGCAGAACTAGCCGTGTTACTCATAGAATCTTTCACAGCTTTTCCCCATTTCTTTACAGCAGGTTCATCTTTGGACTTAATAAATGAAGAAACAGGTATTTTAATATTTGGTCCTATACTTAAATCAACGTTCCATGGCATTGCACCAACAGATTTCTTTTTATGGAACAATAGATATCTCATTGTATTATCAAATGTTGCTGTTGCACCACCAGTGTTTTCGACAAAATGACGAGCTATTTTGTAATCACCTTCAAATTTTTCGAAGTCTTCATAAATATCGGGTCCAATTACATCAACTTCGAATTCCTCTTCTTTAAATCCATTGCATACCTGGACAAAAAAAAGGTACCAACTAGATCTCACATTACCTTTCTCAATATTACAAGTCAGTCAGTTGACCTTGACTGTGTAACTTAGTTGATACAGATGCATTATTTACTACCAAAATTATTTGTAATTACATTAATAATGTTTTCTGGGGGATTTGGATCGTTAGTTATGTGGACTAATGAACTCATTGCCACATACCATGTCAGGTTGACCTTCATGTGGTTCCCTATGGAAACCATTGAGATAAGTTACTGGTGAATATGTCATGATGGTGACCTGCCATGAACTAATGTTATTTGAAACTAAACTAAATAATTCTTTGTTAGTAAGTAACAATAAATAAAAGAAGACAGTGGTTTTATTATCATTGTTAGCAAATTTATTTGCACACTTGCACTTAACATGGACAATACAAGTGCACATGAGTTTCATCACTTAATGAGACATCAATACATTAAATAAATATGGCAGAATGTAACACAATTAATATTTTGTATATAAAATTAGTATCTAATTTAAATTCTATTTTTTACATTTCAGCATAAAGCACTTAATATTATTATTCATTACTTTATGGATTTGGACCAATGTCTTACTTGCTCAATTTCAACAGCATCTGCATAAGTTGGTGCTTTGAAGTTAGTCATTAGTATAATTTTTTTCTCTGCTATTTTGACACCACTTATTCCATTCTTAAAGTGGTCTGCAGCAACAATCAAAGCATCTATCCAGTCACCTTTCTTATTGGAAGGCTGTAACAGGACATTAAGTGGTATTTAGTATAAGTGTATAAAAATTTACATGAAGTGGTCAACACAATCAAACCAAATCAAATCAAACAAACAACAACAATAGGTCCTAAATATGATGCACATTTTATTTGAAGTTTGGAATAAATATCAATTTATAAAGAAAAATAGGTGTTTTTTTAATAACTAAATTTATAAATATCCTTTATTAATGTGAATAATAATTAATACAATATCTTATTAGCTTGTTACTAATCAAAATTGTACAGTTTGCCAATTAGTTCCTAGTTGTATTATGATGAATTGGTATAGCACTAAGAGTTAATATAAATAAATAATCCTGGACAATTGATAGTGCCATCTAGACCCAAGGTAAGTAGAGCTTGTGTTATGGATACTAGACAACTGATATTCAGATATATTTTTTCTTTTGTACATAATATGTATAGAAAACACCCACATTGATTCAGACAGTCATATGAATATAAATGTTTGCTTTGTGCAAGGAATTGAACCCACAACCATCAGAAGTAAAGCAGTGAGCTAAACTGATATACTTTTACACACATCAATATATACTAAATTGCCCATGTCACATGGAAGATATGAGTATGAATGAGTAAGAATACAATTTTATCAAATACTTATATATTTTTTCATTTTTAAGCATCATATAACTTAGTCATACTTTTTAACTCTGACAGTACATTTTTTTATGTTGAATCTGCTGTCATCAAAAACATGACTTTAAAAGAGGAATATTAAGTTTATTTTTTATTTATAATTAAACATTAATTCTCTTTCATTACAAGGACGACTAAAAAAAATAGATATAGCACAGTTGTACCAGGAGGAAAACTTGAATGCAGAGTATCCAATATTGAAGTAGATAGTCTCAAGATGAATTTTAAAGCTTTTGTGGCATTGGACTCATGTATAGAATATTATTCTGTCCTTCATGATAGAATAAAACGGACAGTTGTCAACGGCATCTGTATGTTGTATCTGTCAAGTGTTTGTACATCACTAGAGCAGTGAGTGTCGCTTATCGTGTGTAATATCCATGAATTGCTATATTGTGGGTAATCAATAAGCGATGCTCTTGAATAAAAAATATAGTTGCAGTAAAATAAAGACTGATTCTTGTAATTGTATTATATTGAACTATTATTTATGGGATATGTAATTGACTATATCTACAATATCAAAAAATTGTATTTCATACCTAATACACACATATTATTTAGGTATAAGAATTTGGAAGTCTGTTATTGAAATGGAGACTAATTAAATAAACATAAATGTACTGATAAAATAACTTAAATGAAATATTTACTATTAACAATAATTTGTCATAATGCCCTGAAGCTGGAATAAGTGATATTTACTCACGGTGTTTGGTAAATTACGAATCATCTCCCAACTGGGAGATTGTAACTCGGCTAACATTTCTATGTACTTGAAATTCCCATCAGACGATTTTGCCATATTGTTCTGTGTCTTTTTTGAGCCTAACAGTATCAAGCCGACAAGGCTCTTTCCTTGATTCATAATTTTTCGCTCCAAAACTCGAGCCGCGCACGCCTTCGCCTTGTCAAAAAAACTTCCGACCTTTTCGTCTGGTAAAGCAACATTTTTCCCAATATCCAAAATAATTATTGAAGCTTGATCTATTTTAGGCGGCATTTTCTTTTCTCTACAATTAAATGTAATTAATTAATACCAAACATGTAATCATACTTAAAACAAAATATCCTAATTACTTACATGTATTTTATTTATTAAAATTTAAGTTTGTAAAGTTACTAGACGGTGTTTATAAATATTTCTATATTTGATTCAAACTGAAATTACATACCTAAAATACGTATATAAATCTATGTACTCGTATTTTACACTAGATTTTTATTTAATGAGACAATACAAACAAAATAATTATATGTAACAAATTCGAAACTGGATATCTCAACAGTCCATAATAAAAAAGTAATAAGTATTCACAGATCAGTCATATTACTGAGTCGGATACCATTCACGATACACTTGAGGAAAAATACTCTGTTTATATGCAATGGTATGAAAACTTGTTGGTTCTTGTTCTTAGTAGAATTTAAAACATAAATTACAAAATATTGTGAAATAGACAATCATTAGCAAACATTGCCAGATTCAATTATTAAAAATTACGGTACAGTGTGTAATGAAGACATCAAAAGAAACGTAATATATGGATGGATTAGGTATATATCTTTATTAAATCAAAATGTCAATAATGTTTTCGCTATAACATCTATCTAGCACAGATAACATAATATTACATATTAGTAGTACTACTATATGTAATATTATGTTATCTGTGCTAGAATTGAATAAAAATTATATTCGTTATCGTATCACAAAAGTCAATAGATGAAAATATAGTTGTCGTTAGATATGTATATAATATTTTTTAACAATAAATCGAATGAGCTGAATGCCAAGCCTATTTTATATGTTGTTTATAAGTATTATACTGAAAATATGAATCATACTCGTAACTTAATCTATTTGATATCTTGAGCATTTTTTACTGTTTAGGCAAATTTTGCAAAAGAGACAGATTCCTTTATAATTAAGTTTCATGAGGGCATTTAAATATCACAATAAAAAAAACATCTTTCGTTTGGAATTGTGTTGTGTTGTATGTTGCCAGTATTATTCATCTAAGTACCTATGTTGTCCAATCTTCTGTTTTATGTGATTGGGACAATATGTTTCTTTTTTTTTTTTACTCTTTATCTGTGAGTTTTTACTCTCTGTCTGTTTTATCTGTGGTCTGTGATTTAAACAGTTGGAGCCGGTTAGGTTATAATATATGAATGTATATTGCTCGTAATATATAATAATTGCTTGCTATTTTCAGTATCTGGTCTATTTAATTTAGGTAAGATAATTTAGTTCACTTTAACTATACATAATGACATTACTATTAAAATATAATTTAAAATGATTTGGTGGGTCACGCACTGTTCATTTTTATTTCTAAAAGTTTGTTGTTACGTAATGTTTATTTTTACAAGTGAATATTAACTGTTATCAGTGGCGACAACAGTAATGAGGTACTGTAAAAATGTATTGTAGGTATAATTGCTGACCTTTAATTTCTTCCAAAACAAATGTATTTGTCGATAATAATTTTGTTATGCTTGATCTTTGAAAAAAAAACCTCTTGTTTTGATAAAATATTTATTTAAAAGATTACAGTGGTTAAAGAATAAAGATCTACTTGTTTTGTTTTTTTTATACTACATACGTAGTTGGGAAACAAGCATACGGTACGTCTCCTGATATACGAGTGCCGTAGTCTATGGGCTCCTGAAACACCAGGGTGTCACGTGCGTGTTGACGATCCTATTATATATTTGTTCTGTAACAATTAATTACATAATAATAAATCTCAGGAGAATTTACACTATGCCATCTAGACCTAAGTTAAGCTAGATAAAGCTTGTGTTATGAGTACTACTAGACACAAATACATAACACTAATACAAATACATAATTTTTTTTCGTAAATACATACATATTATACATAGAAAACACCCAGACCACAGCATACTCATGAGTACAAATGTTTGTACCATATGAGAAATCGAGCCCACAACCATCAGAAATAAGGTGTGCATATATGCTAATGTGTTATACCATTAAGGCTGTCTAAGTCCGTTTAATATTTATTCTGTAACAATGCTTGACAAGGTATAAATTACCATATTAAAATGTGACATAAATATGAGTAGTGTTGTGACAATGTCATCAACAAACCCCTCAGAACACTATTATTATAAAGTTCTCAGTCGTGACAGCTGTGGGCCAGATAGTCCTTTAGTAAGAAATTCAGCCTTCATTATTTTTATGTTCTTTTACTTGAGTTGCTCCTTAACACTATCACAAATAAAGTATAGTTTTAAATTCATGTGATTTGATTTCAATGTGATTATAGGATTCTCACTGAACTGTAGCCCCGCTTATTTGTCACTTCAGTTTGTTGCAAAATGCTCAGATCTTCAAATAATATTTTTAGGTAAATTGCCTCTTTTGCAGACATCATCTGTTGAAAGTGCTACACTTGTTTTCTGGAGGACTTATTATCTGCAGCCCAGTCTACATCTACTCTTTTTTTTTTAATTCTTTAATAAATTGTTATAGGGTTCTATTATATCTGTTGCACAGTGTTTTGTGTTCCTGTGGGTTTCCTACCTTACAACTTCTCAGAAGTCCTGAGTTCATAATTGGATGATACAAAAAAGATATGCAGTTACTAGTTCTTACTCACTACTTAGATTTTCATATCCCATATGACAACTGAAAAATGGGATGAAAATTGAAAAATCTGAATAATAATTCAGCAGTTATGTATATTCTATATCAATTTTAATGCGAAAGTGTGTATGTCTGTATATATTGACACTAGGATAGATTTTATCACATTTTGCTACAAAGTGATCTCGGTTTAACAATCCACTTTAGATTCGATGATCACCAGTTTGATTCATCGCAGAATACAAACATTTGTAGTCATGTGTATTATTGTTTGTATAGGTCTAACTGTATGAGTTATATAAAAAATATATTTAAATATTTATATCAGTTGCCCAGTACCCAAAATACAACCTCTGCTTAAGCATAGTTTCGGATTAGATGGCACTGTATGAATTATCCAGGGTTATTATTATTTGTCTACCAAAAGGTTGACATTCGCTGGTATACTCACATCAACACAGTAAGCAATTATAATAATTACTTATGCAGTCTATTTGTAACAAGCATTGCTGTAAGTTCTGGATTTACTATCATTAATATAACTAGTATATATATATATACTTATTAAAAACTTCAAAATATTAGAAAAATATATTTATTACATTACATGTTTTTCCATTAATACATAGTGTATACCATAATGTTAATATCTTAAAGAGGAAAAGGAGAGCAGATTTTGTTATGAGGAAAGTAAATTCTAGAACTTTTTACCGATTTGGGCAATGTTCTAACTCACATACTTATGAAATTCTGACTGAATTCAGAGTAAAATAGTAATATTATAAGGTTTTCACCAATACCCTAGAAATAATGCTAGCTTTTTGTTTGTTTGCTAAATTTAGAACTTTAAGTTATAATTTCCGCCCATTTACTAGTTGATATGATCCATTATGATCAATCTTGTACCGGCATAGAACGATCATATATAAGTTCTGCGCAGACGAGGAACGTTTCTCGGCGTACATTTTCTCCTCCATAGTAGTAGGTACTTACCTGCTACAATTTCTACATCGCGTCTCTCTCATTGTGTGCTCTGACATAAAAGGGGTTATTACATTATCAAATGTATGTACATTAATAGCTATAAATATAAAATACACAGAAAATGACACGAACTTCTGAAATTAGTTCTATAAGCCGTAATAGTAAAGCCTATCCTGGTGAATTCACCACGAATTAACTAGGATGATTTCCATGGCGGACCGCAAGGACTGCATGGTCAATCTGACACAACATTACTAGCTCGAGATAACTATTTCCCATTACAAATAATCCTGAAAAATATAGCTCTATATATTCATAATTTTATGTATACACTAGCGTGACGCCGCGAACTCCGTTTCGCATTTGGATTAAATAATATGTTGAAGGATTTTTGAAGATTATAAAATTCTTAACGGACCCTGTATGACAGGTACGAATAGTTTGTATAGGAAAATAAAATTGTTGTATTTAATATTTTTGACTAAACCAAAATTAACCAAATCGGTCCAATCATTCTCGTGTTTTAGCGAGACTAACAAACGTCATTTTATATATTAGGTTAATAATTTATGTACCCATTTAATAATAATCTATTTGATAATGTAATAACCTCTAAAAAGGATTTGATACTTTGCGTACAAAATGTCCCCCGTCTCTGCAAGACTTTAATATGTAAGCTTGTCTCTACCAAACCACTATATAACTGGTTGTAACTGTTCACGCAATCTCAGTACCACGTCGTTCGACCGCCATTAGCCTTGTGATCGTCCCACAATGATTGGAACTGGCACGATACTGAGATGTGCGATTGTTTTGTTGATAGCCGACAGCACTATGGTCAATTTTAGGGTGCTAGCGAGAGCCATGTCGACGGTGGCGAAGGCGTTCGAGGCCCATCAGGTGGTGCCCGATGTCGTCTCCAAGGCGCCATCTGCTCTCGTAACGGTAAGAGTTATTTGTTTTTAAAACTTTATTTATTATGTCATATTTGGATGGAAAAAATAGAACAAATAATGGTGTTGTACACCACACAGTCCATAAGATTTACTCTGGAGTCTAGTCTCAATATCGATTTAAATGTTCTATTGAAACATAACCACGACTAAACCGAATTATTGATAAGAGGCCATTCATAAAACAGGTCACACCGATATTAGTTATTTTTACCAAATTTCACAGGTGGTGACTTTAACAGTTGTTAACTTTCATGTTGATCTCACAAAATGTAAGACAAGACACCTTCTAGAAAGATGGGATCCTTAATATCGTTTATACACGAATTTTGCGACTCCATATCGAATCTTTTTTTATATACAGTTACATTTACAACAAAATAATTGATTTAATTGACTTCATAATTTATTTTCTTCCCACTTCTTGATGGCAGCTTATGTGACTTATAAAAAAAATAGACGGAATGACGGCGTCATAAGAGAGCTATAAAAACTGATAAAATAAAATTCAAAACTCATAAATTTAATTTTCAAGAAAAATGTATGTTTGGTAATTTCTTTTCCTCTTGAGGAATGAAGAGTATGTTTTTTTACTATGCAATCGTTTCTTTAATATATTTTTTGAGAGAGCGCATTGATTTTATAAGATTAATAATGTAATATTTTTGTAATAGATTTATCTAAATCAGACAGTGAAACCAGTTTTTTAGAGAATTTATATCACATGCTTTAAATATATCTCCCGTAATCTATCTTTGAAAAGATTATCAGCAATACAGTGCTAACTTTACGGTAAATGTTGGAATTTAGATAAAAGGTTATTTTCAAATCATAAACACACGTACATATTATAAACAATTTCGAGCTAATAATAATAATCTCTTTATTTGTTTTAACTAATAAACTATTACATATTCTGCTTATAATGAAATTTTGAAGTAATAATTAAGACAAAACGGTCTGGAGAGGGGAAGTGAGTCCACCCTCTCTGCTATTCTGTTATATCCTTTGTTAGTAAATTAATAAAATAAAAAATCAATGACCACGATAGCGTTTAAGTTAAAAACTGTCTTTAAAACTTTACTAACAAAGTAAACATAAAAAAATTACAATAATTGTAACAAAATTGTAAACTAATAATTAAGTCATGGTCGTAATGAAAGGTTTACTTTCACTAAAATATCTTTATATGTTTATGATATAATTTCTAACAACGTAATTGCTAAAAGAAAGAAAGAAAGAAAGAAAGAAAGAAAAATATTTTATTCAGTGCAATGTAAAAAATACAATAAAAGAAAGTCAGCTATTCGTCAATTAATATTCCCAAATATTGAATGGTTTTCTTGTAATACAGCCGTGTCGTGTCGAATCAAAATTTAAAGAGCATGATGGAAGATCGTGGAATGTGGCAAGAACTTCACCGACAAGAGCGTGGCTCTTAAATTATGATAGATACACTCGCCTGCGCAAACGGTTTTCCTTGGCGGGATACCAGTCGAGGATGATAAAACGAGCATAAGTCAGGTCGGTTAGTCCATCTTGCCTAATGGCAAGTCACCACGGTGGTTTTAAATTTCCAGACAAATTCACCAGGTATTTGTAATGTTTCTAGGTGGAACCGCGTGGGATTCAACCTGATATGATACATTGCTCGCAATGGGGTTATTAGTCCACATTACTAACAATCCCTTGCTGTATATTAATGTATCACTACTTACTGTTTTATAGAAATCTAGAAGTTTCCCTCGTAATATAGTATTCAATTGGACAAAGATACAATACGTAGTAAATATAGTATTTGCCTTGATATATATAATTCCGAATATACGTCATGTTTATCATAGCGCGTCGAAAAAATCACGCTTAGCTTTTTTCCCATTTTTTTTATAACCAAACCCATAAAAACTACAGTCTTTTTCTTTATGACACCATTAATAGTACGTGAAATAGGTACAATGTTACGGTTGAGATTTTTGCTAATGAAGTCATCATATTAGACTAACGTACGTAATTGTATAGTATTTTTTATGGATAATGATACGAATGTTACTCCCACCAGCGCTAATGATCTTTGCTGTCGTTTACCATTAGCGAAATCACTAAAAATATATATACTACTAGCTTTTGCCCGCGGCTTCGCTCGCGTTAATTTATCCTCTTAGGGGTAGAATTTATCAAAATCCATTCTTAGGGGATGCCGACGTCATAGTAGCTTTATGCATGCAAAGTCTCAGCCCGATCGGTTTAAAATGACAAAGTTTCATACAATCTTTCATCCCCTATTTTATCTCCTTGGGGGTAGAATTAATCAAAATCCTTTCTTAGCGGATGCCTACGTCATAACATCTACTTGCATGCCAAATTTCAGCCCGATCCGTCCAGTGGTTTGGGCTGTGCGTTGATAGATCACTATGTCAGTCAGTCACCTTTGAGTTATATATATTTAGATGCTGATTTCTAGTGAGGTCACATGGAAGTAGACCTGACGTGGTACCTATATTGCTAGTAATGCAGCCATTAGTGCCAATTACTAAGATCCACTTCTTTGTATGACATCTGTGTTATACATACATTACACTGATATAAATACATACAGAAATTACCCAGATCAATACAAACAAACATACTCATGAATAGAAATGTCTGTATGCGAGGAATTGAATGCGTGAACATCGGAAATAAGCGAGTATGCTAAACGCTGGATCACCGATGCTATCGATATGCGATATACACAGAAGCCTCGGTAGTGGTAGTCTGGCGGCTTGGTACATAGCCTTACCTCCGATGGTCATGGGTTCGATTCCTCGCACGGTACAAACATTGGTATCGTTACCATGATTGTTTGTATCTGTCTGGGTGTTTTCTATGTATACCATATAGATATTTAGAAAAAACAATTGTATCTATGTATTTTTGTCAGTTATCTACTACATAAACACTGATGGCTGTGTGTGAATTGACCTGATTTATTTTTGTTTTAATTACTTTGAGGACTACTTGCGTACCGACGCGGTTGCAAACAGTCGGACACGACGACTGGTGACACTTCTCACGTAATTCGGTGGGATATTGAATCCTATCCGTTCTACAACTACCAATGAATTCATTGCTAACAATGTACAATGTCAGGTTCACTCTTCGAAATTCCCCCTAAAACCATCGTGATACTTTGAATTGAACTTGGTGATTTTGCCACGATAGGCTCACTTGACCTCATGCTCATCTTATCATCCTCCATTGGTGACCCGCCAGCGTAAACCATGAACGCAGGTGGGTGCACCATTCTATTATCACCATAAGAAAAAATACTTCACATATGGCGGGAAGCAGATTGTCTGTAATGTGCTCGAATGAGTACTTTGCTAACAATGTACAAAGTAAGGTTGACTCCACGCGGTTCCTCTCCTTGAAACGATGATAAATTCCTAGTGAATTTGCCACGATAGACTCGCCTAACCTCATGCTCATACTATAATCCTGCACTGGTGCCTCGTCAGCGTAAACTGTTAGCGTAGGCCTTCCATTCTCGGTAATAAAAATAAAAAAATGCACTAGTGTCCCGCGACGGTAGTTTCGCACAGGCGGTGGTACTATTCCATATTCATAAATTAAAAAATATGTGCTGATCCCGGAAATATTGATTTGACATCGACAAATTAATATCGCTATTAAAAAATGGTTGATGGTAGAAGGGTGAAATTTTTCTGTTATATGTATGTTTAATGCTACATTATACAAAAACTAAAATTTGTCCAAAAAATAAAATAGATAGCAGCCGATTCTCAGACCTACTGAATATGTATATAAAATTTCGGTCAAGCCGTTTCGGAGGAGTATGGTAACTAACATTGTGACTTGATAATTTTATATATAAGATAATATGCGTGTTTGCATGATCTGAGAGGAAGAAGTTATAATAATAATTGTCATACTATATGGTTATATCAGTAGCTTCAGTATATTATTATAAAAGCATTACTTCTAGTTGATTATGTCTCATTACATCGAGTAAATTGTCGACTTAACTTAACAATACAAGTACATTCAATACAATGTTTTACAAACGTGTAACCTTCAGCAAATTATCAACACATTGTGGAAATATCATAGCGAATTCTCTCATAACATTTTTCAATTACAGACAGATTGCGATTCCGCTCGGAAAAAAACAATGTATCACTTAAATTAACCTTATATTGAATTCAAACTTTTTGGAATATATGTAAACGAGATGAATATTGTTTATATGAATTTTATTATAATTTTTAATCTGTTGCTATGATCAAAACGCTGGCCGGTCACCGGCATTGATGCTGCGGTAATTTTCCATATAAATTTAAAATTAGAATTGTAAATTGTTTTTTTATAACGAAAATTGAGACATTTGATCTCGTACCTTCCTATTTGGTTTTATTTATATTTGGTCACCTGATTCCCCAGTTACAGTAGCAATCTGACTTGATTTTTTTTTGTCTGTATCAATCTATTCTGTGAATCTATCACATTATGTAATATTATTCACCGGTGTAGTAAGATCATTTCATCGACCAGATGATCTTTTGATTGCCACAATAATTTCTATGGGATCATATGGAGACTAACTTGATAGTAGAAATTCCTGGTTAATTCACCATGATACTTGGCCGGCGTATCTGACTTAATTTTCATTCTATTGTATTAAATTGTAGTCTGCCAATGATTATTGTTAATACATGCGGATGCACATAATATACCTACATCCTTCAATTCCCGTCCCGCCCCGATACATCCGGCTTAAACACACCTATCTGATTAAGCCGGAGGTTTCCAGGCGGTCCTAAACGGGAAATTTTATATTATTTATACTGAACCAAAGTATTCACTAATTCCAGGTGAAATTCGCGAGCGGTGTGGAAGTTAATGAAGGCAACGAACTAACTCCCACCCAGGTGAAGGATGTACCATCTGTGTCTTGGGACGCTACGCCGAACCAACTCTACACACTTGTCATGACAGGTACCTCCTTTTTTTAATTAGTCAATTCTTTTTTCAAAATTATATTTTGTTTTTGTCGTTGTATCGCTTATTACTGCATACAACGCCATCTAGTGATACGATATGGTATTATTAATGCAAGTCTTTACACAATTGTTAGCAGGATGGTGTTGTATACATAATTTATTATATTTGGAAACAAATTAATAAATAAAATTTGTTCATTTCAAATAATATTGATTGTAATGATAATTTACTGTTTAATATCTAATTTTTATACTAACTTACTGGTTGAAATATTTTTTTATTATTTTCTGCTATATATATTACAGTAACCTAAACAAGGTTACTGTAATATAATGAATCATATATATTTGAAACGCGGATCGTAGTTTAATGTAAGTTTGAGTTTATTTTCAATAACTAGATCTTAATAAATGAAGGTAAGTAGTTTTTAGAATCGACACTAATTTGAGATACTTTCATTTCCTGAGCTTAGTTTTTTTAACAAGACTATCATCTGAGAGCATAATTATAGGTGAGCAATCACCCATACTAGAGATGTGTCTATCGGACAGGAGTTGGCGCTTAGCTGCTTCATAATTCCTTCGGTGGATTTGGAGGGCCAACAACACTTGTTAACATTAACGTAACACTACAATTGTTTCAACAAATTGTGCCTACGCTTGTGATATTTCTGTTAACACTCGGCATCATTCCATTTGTTTACGTCTCCACATAACTTAGATTTAACTCAAGTAATCAAGTGTAAAGGCAGTCCACGTTACGACTCCGCGTTGAGTGTACTTGTTACTAATAAGCCATATAGCACTTTAACAAATAAACTTACTACCTACATATTATAGGAAACATATTAAGTAATGACATCACATCACATTATATACAATGCTACAGTAGTGAGGTGCTTTTTATCACGCTATAAATATTGTCATCGATTTTAAAGATAAGAAACAGCGTTTTTTCTAATTCAGACCCTGACGCGCCGTCTCGCAAGGAACCCAAGTTCCGTGAATGGCACCACTGGTTGGTCGGCAATATCCCCGGCAACAACGTGGCCGCTGGTGAAACCCTCTCAGCCTACGTAGGGTCCGGTCCCCCGCCAGACACGGGGCTACACCGATACGTGTACCTAGTGTACAAACAACCATCCAAGTTGAACTTCGACGAACCACGCTTGACTAATACGTAAGTATCTTAAAGAGTGATGCTAAAGTCCTCGTATAAATTAGGTCGTATTTTGCATAGTGGTTTACAGTGATATTAATAGTATGTGGTATAGTGGTATGGGATATATAAAATTCATGAAGTATTATGTATAATTGATAATGCACCGCCCACATAAATCTGTTTGTCCTATGGTTGACTGGGAGAAAATACCTCAAGGTGTTAAGTGTAAATGAGTGACGCCAAGCTTAGTCCGCATTTTGTATAGTGATCTACAGTAAAATTATTGGTTAAATTATGGGCTAGACTTTATAATCACTAGAATTGTTTGCCCAAGCTCCGGTTCTGTGGGCCAGGATCACAGACCACCAGACCCACCCCTACAACCGGCACTTGTACAAACAGAGATTCGCGTGGGCGATGCATTATCAATCATACATATAATACATAATAAATATTTCATTATGTATTTACAAAAAAAGATGTATTTACATCAGTTATCTAGTACCCATAACATAATTAATCGACAACGCGCACTTGACGCCCGATGGTGTTTCAGCCACCCATTACGCTACGGTCACCATTTACCATCAAATAGGCCGTATGCTAATTTGTTTCGTGGTATAAAAAAAACACTAGCTTGGAACCAAATGGAGAGAGATATACAAAACCTAACACTAGATTGAGCCGAGAATCGAACAAAAGTGTCGGGTGGCCTCGGGCAATTCATGGGTAATTTATGTTATCGCCGGGGACAAATAAAATATATATAAATATAAATAAATGAACAAATAAAATAAATTCTACCTAACAGTATTGTCACCATTCTTTTCATTGCAGATCGGGCGATAACCGCGGCCAGTTCTCGATCGCGAAATTCGCCAGTAAATATAATCTCGGTGATCCCATTGCTGGAAACTTCTATCAGGCGAAATTCGACGACTACGTGCCTATATTGTACAAACAGTTGGGTGCTTAATCTTCCTGATTTCGTGTTTGATGTACCTTAGTATGTATGCCAATATATAGAACGCTTAATAATAAATTTCATTAACAAAGGTCTATGTGTGATATGTACTTTAAAATTTTTGCATTAGTGTCTATTTTCCAAATTTACTAATAAAATCAATAATGTTTTTTTAAGCGTGCAATATATAAGCATACAGCAGGTATCGAATGCATTTAATAGATCTTCCAAGAGCAGTTATCGAAAGCATTTATATATAAGAAAAGTAGTAATCGAAAGCATTTATATATAAGGTACAGACAAACACTAAGATAAAAACGAATGATTTAAAATATAGGTCTCATCTCGTATGACCTTCGGATGTATAACATATTTCTTTATTAGCTTTTTAAGCAACAAGTTGTTAGTATCAAATAAAGTTTTGTAAAGCATTTTGCAGCTTTGTTTTACTCCATACAAATATTTTAAAAAAATAGTCTGTGATCTATCTCTGCAGTTAAGCAGCTTGCTTTTCATATGGATGGTAATGGGATGGTGCACCTGTCTGCGTTAGTTAACCATAGTTCATTTTAAACTTTCGTGTTTAATATACATTATTTAAATTATTAACCGGGTCTTAACATGCTCTTATATTGGCCAAACAAAACGATCAATAGCCGAGTGAGTCAAAGAGATGTGCTCTTTGACTCACAAAGCGGTTAAAAATCGACAACCACACAAATCAGCGATTGCCGATCATCTACTGAACGCTGGAACAAATCACTGGATTGAACTACATGCGCCTGAGGTCCGCTCTACTGATCGCCACTATTACCCACGAATGGTCCGGGAGGCGATTGAAATTAAAAAACATCCCAATTTCAACAGAGAGGATGGCTTAAAATTATCGTCTGCGTGGAATCCAGTCATAAATAAATTCAAGCTAAGGTCAGTAGCATAAATAGTCAATAAGTGTACGGATACCGTGAGTGCTGTGTGTCGCGAACTTTCGTTAAACAATCTAGTGACGGTAGATGAAGAAAAAACTCCTGTCACCTATCTACATTGATATCGCTGTTACTCCAGTCAGCTCGTGACTACGGCTAGTGCAACCTAGTCGAAATAATGTATAAGTTAAGCATGCCATCAGGTCAGTTAATTCATCGTGGTAAGTTCATCATGAATTTTTCACGATGGTTTCCAGGAGAAACCATGTACAGGTCAACCTGATATGGTACATTGTTAGAAATGGGTTCATTAGTCCACATTACTACCGATCCCCTTCCCCCAACAGCTTTGCTTTTCAGTGGAGGAGTGATTTAAGGCTTACTGCCTTAAATCACCCCTCCACTGAAAAGCGATAATTTATTCAGGATAAGATCTCAATGTATCTTAGTCTTTCGGAATGGCAATCAATACATTATAGGTTAACACCGAAAGTTCTTTATAACATCACAAAACAATATTTATAAACCAATACTGTTTAGTGGCAACGCTAAATAGTTACACACGACAGTTATATAGTAATATATCACCATTATTACATAGTATAAAACAAAGACGCTGCCGCTGTCTGTCCGTCCCGATGTATACTTAAATCTTTAAAAGTACGCAGAAGCGGGTTTTTTTTTAGTAGGTAGAGTGATTCAAGAAGAAGCTTTATGTGTATAATACATGTACATTCGTGCGATGCCGGGGCGAGTTAGCTACTCGTCCGCCTTTATTTTCTATTTTAAACTTGAAATCAAAACAACAACTACCCACTTCTCAAATTTTAACGCCATCTAGCGACTACGTTTGCAATTAACAATACGTCAATAAGTTATGAGGTAATGACAAAAAAAAACAAAGTATAGAGAAGTAACAGTTTATTATTTTTCAAACAAATCCTTAGTAGAAACAAGATACAATTAACAACGAAATAAATCATAAAACAAAATTCTAATCCCTACATTAATTAATATCGATTTTATAATATCTAATTATTTACCTATTTCTATGACAAATAATTATGACTTCTTTCGCGTTACTTTTTATCTACATCATTTTATTAAATGTTAATTCAAAATTTATCTAAAAATATAATGGCTCCAGGCCTTCACAATTTTGTTACACAGGACATCATTCATATTAACATTAGGAAATATTAGAATGGAGAAATAAAAATCATGTTTTAAGTTTAATTTACAGAACAAGAAGACTTATGAAATAAACGGTCGACTAGAAATCGTTTTAAATAAATTCATTAATCGACTTAAAAATTTCGTTACAATCTAAAATATCTTAGACATGCCGTATCTACGTATAAGTACACTTTAGACACTTCAAAATATGTTTTTTTTAATAAGTAAAATTGTAGGTCTTTCGTTAGCGTTTCATATGAAACTGACCGACAGCAATCTTCTATGTAAGATTGGTGGCATTTCATTAATACAAACTCAATTCAGGAGAGCGTACTTGGTCGTTGTAGTTTAAAAAAAATGTCAGATCAGTATCAATATAAAGCAAGGAATTAAAACTAATTAGTAGTAGGTAAATATTAAATATATGTAGGTAATAGGATTAATAAGCTGGGAAACTCCATAAAACGATTTTATAATAACAAATCTTCTCTAGATATTCTCCAAATAACATGACATAATTCTCATTCTGTCATCATTTAATGGTTCCCGGCCAGCGTATTTATTATATTACGGGGTGGCAAACAAGCACGCGGCTCATCTGATGGTAATAGTATATCACTAGTACAGGCAACAGCAACGTTCACTAATTGTGGATTAAAAGAACTGCATATCCCTACATTTATGTAAAGATTGTATCTAAATTAGGTAATGCCTGATTGAAACTAAATTACAGTTATTAGTTCTAGATAAAATTTAAATAAAAAAGTTTTAAAAGTTGACAGTATTTAAGGGAGTTTGTTATTAATAAATAACTTTTGTAATATCAAGGTAAATTTTATATTCTTGTTATACATATAGGTTTCATATAAATTAAGGTAGGTATTTCAGTATTTTCTCCTTATGTCTGTGCTGTATTGTTTTTAAACTCTAGATATTTTGCGCACAGTCTACTTCGTTTCTAGCAGCATTGTTTTCAATCATTGGAGAGTTGGTCCGAAATTAAAATCACACAGTTATACTAAGTAGATTTTCAGTAAAATATATTTGCTTATAAATTCAAAATACGGTCAGTTAAGCACTATTGTATTAATATAATTATTATTTTACAAAACATATAAACTATAATATTAATAAAATGCGATGTTAAAAAAGTAAAATTACTGATGAAATTAAAGTTATGAAAATTAAAAGGTAATAAAAAAACACGCGCTATTTCTACGTACTTCAAACGTATTTTTAAATATAGGTAATGAATTATTTACACAAAAATCCCGGCCTGTCCACATCGAAACAATAAACTAACATAATTAATAAAAGAAAACAACAAAAATTAGTGCCTAAATACTAGAAACATTAATTGTAAATGGAGTTCAAAAATTTGAAGCTCCTTTCTGTGCTGAAATACAAATTAGCATGAAACAAATATTTCACCACTGTTAAATAAAACCAATGGCAAATATCTTAAATTAATATACATATTAGTATATTCACAATAGATTTAGACAACTTGCACTGTTGCAAATGCGCTAAATGTCACTTTCTTTGGTGGTTCCACACTGCAAGTCCTTATAACTGATCGCTTTCCTCCATCTTGGCCATTCATCTTCAAAACTGGCTTCAAGTTAGCCACATCCCCATGTGATTGGGCCTTAAATCTACCGATTGTATTACTAGGATTACCAAGGTCCCTCAGTTTGTTTGTCAATCCTGTGATTCTGTGCGAAATGTTTGAATAATTCGTTTTCTTGACCTCATTCTGTTTCTTAGGTTCGCTCAATTTCTTCGGTATTTCTAAGTTTTGAAGAGACGTAAACTTCCTGTGATCTGAAGTGAGTAGGTTCCTGTTCATTTCTGGTACTGGACGTGGTAGTCTCGGTGGCCTTTGGATATAATTGTTTGGTCTAAAAGTGATTGGTGTTAGTTTCGGTTCACTGGATAACCGATAATACTGTGGCACCGGCTCCAATCTTTGGGGTTTTCTAAGTGTAAACGCTACAGTCATTTTACTGGGTCTCACGAGACTGTCGAACGCTGTTGTGGAGAATTGCGAGCGACTGTTCTTCCACTCCTCACGATCGGACTCGTAGCCAGCGGTCACTGAAATAGAAAAAGGTACAATATTTGAATGTGATCATAATAACATTTTGGATTTATAATAATAATATTTTTGAACAATTCACACAGCACCATCTAGTCCCGATTAAGCAGAGTTTGTGTTATGGACACTAGATAACTGATTTATATACTTAGATACATTTTTATGTAAATATATACATAGGAAACACTCACACTGATACAAACAATCATTATCATGAATACAAATGTTTGTACCGTGGGAGGAATCGACCCACAACCATCGGAAGTAAAGCAGTGTGCGAAATTACAGACCACCGAGATCGTCACATCAATATGATTATCTTCAGTACTAAATGGTCTTGATAATTATATCATAACATAAAAAATATATTGAGTTCTCCATGACATTTTTTTAAGCGTTTTTTAATATTTTAAATTCCTAAAAGTGTGAATCTTCCCAAGTCAAAATCGGTACGATTTTGAACATACTAGGCATAAGTTAGACGATTAACGAATAATTAATCATAAAATAATTACATATTTTTTAAAATACTATTAAAATTATAACATAAAGCTAATTATTATAAACTACTTAGTAATTAAATTTAATTTGTCTGGCTGTTTCGTCAATAGATGTAGGTACAAGTTACATCAGATAATTATCTATTCGTGAACGTAGTTATTCTAGGCACGTAATGCTTCCGCGCATCTTTGCATACAAACAGTTTGTTTAAGTTGAAGTAACAATCATTCACGACCCACAAATTGGAAGGTATTATTGTTTTGCATACAGGAAAATGAGATATTCCCTTAATTAAGAAATAGTGATCTTTCTTAATTAAATGATTATCTCATTTGATTGACGGCCTCGGTGATCTAGCGGTTTGGCACACCGCTTTACTTCCGATGGTCGCGGGTTCGATTCCTCGCACGGCACAAACAATTTTATTCATGAGTATGATTATTTGTGTCGGACTGGGTGTTTTCTATATATAATACATACGTATTATATTTACGAAAAAAAAAATATCTATGTATTTATTAGTTATCTAGTACTCATAACACAAGATTTATGTAGCTTAACTTGGGACTAGATGGCGCTGTGTAAATTGTCCTGATATTATTATTTTCTGATTATATTTATTCACCATTAATATTTTTCAAATACACATTTTAATTAATTATTTCCAGAAATATATTTTTTAATAAAAAATAATTTCGAAATTTGGGTAATCCCTGTATCATAACGAAGTAAAAATTAGAATTTGATTTACTATATCCCTACTAATATACAAACGGAATAAATGAAAACATTACCTGAAACCTCATACCTAACCTAGACATCATAAATTATATCTTTGTATATGAATTTCAGCAATGAAGTGTTCATTACAGTATGCATACCAACAAACGACGCCGAAAAGCTATTTGCTTTTAAACATTACATAATTGTAGTCTTTTTTATGAAATTTAATATTTTCTCATAATATACGGTTAAGTTAGTAAATTTGAGATATTCAGAAAGAGTAAAGCGATACTAAGTAATATTAATCTGTATCTGGGGCAATAAATATTATAAACAAAAAAATTAAAAATTGTGTCGATCTCAGCAACAGCAACTGATAATGGCGTCCCTCAGAGCTTCAATCTATGCCCATATCTTTAAATGGCCTCCGTTCGCATTAGAATTTTGTTCTTGCATATTAATTGGATAGTACATTCTTTCACAACACCGGCCTTTGAACTATGACTTATTATGCCAGACCTTGATAACATCATTAGGAACAATGATACTGTCATTAAATTATATGTATGAATGCAATTGTTTTTAACATTTTAATGATCTGGCATCATTATACGTAAATTTGTTTTGTTTTTTAAAACAAAAGTTGCAATGTTTACAAACAAATTGATATCTTATTAATATTATAAATGCTAAAGTTTGTGAGTATGGATGGATGTTTGTTACTCTTTTACGAAAAAAGGATTTTGATGAAACTTTACAGTAATATAGCTTATACATCAGAATAACATATAGGCCATAAATTTCATGCGGGTGAAACCGCAGCACAGCTGATAAGATAAATGTATATTTGAGTTTAAGTTAGTAGACACTAACTTGATTAAGCAAAGTTTATTACTTAACTAGCTATTCCCGCGACTTCGTCCGCGTGGAATTAAACTTTTTCTAAAATAAAAGATTTTTTCTGAAATTAAAGTAGGTAGCTTAAGTTACTCCTTATCAGCTACCTGCCAAAAATGGTCCAGCCATTTCAGAGATTAGCCGGAACAAACAGGCCGACAGACAGACAGTGAATGTTATTTTGGTGTATGTACCGTATTTATATTCATATGCATGTCGTAAAAAACGGTTATTTCAATATTACAAACAGACACTCCAATATTATTTATATGTATAGATTAATGGTAGATAATTTCAACTATATTTTTAGTTCACGTATAATTTCTAGAATGTGTGATTTAAATATGTTATTTAATAATTATTCCATACCAGTCGTAAACCGTCATATAGAAAGAATTTTATGTGTCATTACGGGTTTACTTATCTGCCTGTCTGTCTCTGTGATAGATATAATAAGATTATCTTCATACATAATGTCTTATTAAAACAAGTAAGAATTGCTTATTATTGTATACACAAACACAGCGATGTCATTCATCCATGAAGGGCAGATTCGATTCCCGCGCAGTTTACTTACAGCCTATCACTTCCGTAATACGCTACCATCAACTGGAGCTTGACATTCTATGTCATTGGGTTTATTGCGTTAGTAATTTGATATTCTAATTGCAATGTAAGAACAAGTACATATATTAATATTTACATGTCTCAACGGAACCGTGTCAGGTCTGAGTTATTTCATATAATTGGAATACAAACAAACTCTCAAGTAAAAAGTAGTATCCATTACCTATACTCGTAAAAACATCACGAATATCATGACATCATTTAATGATAATAATCCAGGACAATTCACACAGCGGCCTAGCCTAAAGATAAGCCAACGGCGGATCCAGGGGAGGGGGTCATGAGTCCAGAACTTAGGTGGACCACTAATTGAACATAATGATTTTATTTATATATTTTGTTACCATACAGATTTTATGTAACTACATATCTTCAATATTTAATTAATTATATTTAAATAGTGCTTCTCTGTACAAGTTATTATGTGTTAAGTTTTTCAAGTGTACAACAAAGAATAAATATTTTTAAGCACATTACTTACGTACATTAATAAAATACCTACTTTTCACTTGTATCAAAATTAATTGTTATCAAAATTAAATTATAAGTTCTTGACTTGACCACGACTATGTGACTATGTGACCTGGCGCCGAAGCTGGATCCGCCCTTGAGTTAAGCAGAGCTTGTGTTATGGGTACTATGTAAATATTATCTTATCTATTTGGGTACTAAACAACTGTTAGAATAAACTACATTTTTTTAAAACATACATAATATACATTCAATGTACCCAGACCAATATAACTAATCATACTTTTAAATACAAAGTTTTTACTATGCGAGGAATCGAATTCGTGGTCATCGGAAATAAGCCAGTGTGCTAAACCGCTAGACCACAAAGGCTGACAATTTGCCGTGGTATCTTCCACGCATTGTCATTTTCATGGACTTATGTGCCATATTTCAAAGTGAATCACAGCTTCCAAGGAAGCTGCTTGGCGGCAAAAATATATGTTTAAGATTAATATATAATATGTGTATATTATGTATAATGTGTGTGTAAGTGATAATCACCTGAGTATCCCTTACACACACATTATACATATTATAGATGAGTTTGTATACAAACTCCACAAAAAAAGAAGAGAGTATATAGACAAAATTGTCATAGACAAATCATTATTTCCAAAGCTATTCTTTAAGCTATTATTGTTGAAATGGTCTGTGTAATTTCGACGTTAAACAGTGTTGCCATTTTGACCATAATGTCACAAGAATGGTGAATGCAATCAGATTTTACGACGTGCGCCCATATTGTGGCTGCACTTCCATAAAATAGTTTTTACGTGTCAACTTTAGGGTCATCAGCATAACGAATATTGTCTAATATTTTGCTTGCAATTATTTTAGTAATTTTAGTGTGACGTTATCTATATTTAATATCTAAATAGTATTTTGTTTATTGAGGGTTTTGGGCTACTGCTAGGTGCTTTAGACCTGTAGCAACGCGATCTACATAGATCTATTGAGCTCGCTCCTTTTCTAAACTTGGCTACCTGGACCCGTCAGGGACAAGAATTGAAGGATATTTTAGGAGCGATAGTTCAAAATATAAGGTCATCGTTTTGTGTATCACTCAATCAATTTTCATGTGGACCTCACTCATTTTGATAATTTCTTCCGGAAGGTTTACTGGCTTAATAAATGCATATACAACCTCCGTCTGATACACTGTATGAAACGAGACGGGTGGGCTAATCTACTTTATACAAAGATTAAGTTCTGTTAAATAGAAAATTTCTAAGAACGTTCAGGTAAGAAATAGGTATGAATATATCATATTAAAAATAATTTATTCATATAGGACATTTTAGCCGCATGAGCATCAAGTTTTTTGTATTAATATGTTTCATTCGATACCGTCCAGTACAATGTAGGTACATATTCAATCGAGAACTATCAACAGATTTTTTTATACAATAATCTATGAATAACTACCTATTATCCATTACTAGAGTGAAATAGAGTTTCAGAGTTTCAGGCAGGCCTGAAACTCTATTTCACTCTTCTCAAGATATTTTTTTGTGATAAAATATTGCCCATCTTGTATATCTTCACCCTAAATTTTATTAAGATCCATTCAGAGGTTTAGGCGTGAGAAGGTTACAAACAAAGAGACACAGAGACACAACCTTACAGACAAATACTCAGTCATATTTATAATATTAGTATTGATAGAGCTATTGAATTGGTATGAATATTAATGACTTCTGACTTTAAAATTAAGAACAATATCAATAGAACATTTTAC